TTTGGATCTTAGCCCAGCCAAGCGGATGGAGAAACTCGGTGTGTAATGAAAAACAGTTAAATGTTTCATTTCCCACTTAATAGGCTGGCGGGCGCTTCAAAGAACCAACCATACCTTTTATGTACAATAAATCCAAAAGTCGGTCTTCCATAATGTTTTCCGTTATCAATATTTTATTAACTGTACAGGCGACGTAATAATTGTGCATTTCTAACAGTCTTACAATTGTGTCATTACTGTTGATGAGAAGGAAATGCAGGAGACTGTCATTCCTTTAGATTATTTTTCTGTTTGCCAGTCTTGTTCTGATTGATGCGTTCAAGGCGGTGCAGTTTTTCGGATTTTCCCCCAGTGCCGTTTTGAAGCGGAAAGCTTTCCGGTGTACAGTCGTTCTCTTCTCCTGTCTTTCTTTCATTTGGGAAAGAGAGTATAACTTGCTAAAAATCAAGGTCATACTTGATAGATTTGGGTCGAACTCTAAATATTACAGAATACATAAACAGCCCTGCAGCTGACATATCTTGTTTTACTGGAAGACAGTAGGCCACTTTTCGTTCTTGTGCATGTCAGATATTTTGTGGGAGATTTTACAGAAGGCTCTGCATTTTTTTTTCTGACTTTTGCAGACACTCACCCTAAACATAGTTGAGCAAATGCATCCGTGCCAGAACTTGACGTGGATAAGATGCAGCCAGGAGGACTGCATTTTGAAATGAAACGTGGAAGAACGGGAATGTCTGACTTTGACTTGAAGTGCATTCATCTGGATTTTGTCTGTCAACAGCTGACTGAGCGATGATGCCACTCAAATGTGCTGAAGGCCTGTTTTATATTTGTCCCATTGGAGTCTTTAGATTCCTCCTGACAAGACTCGCAGAACGGGTAGAGTGCGTGACCCCTATTTGCACACGTGTCGTGACTTGAACGACTCATCCGAGTGGAGCATTGGCAGTCTGCGTGGAGACTACGAGCGATTGTTGACTTTTTTTTTTTTTTTTGGATTCCGTCTGGCAGAACGAGTCGAACCAGATGGAGCTCGACGGCACAACAGGCTACTCTTGTATGCTAACTTTCTCACCTGGACGTCACCACGGACGTTTGTGTGTAAATAAGGGAAGACTGTTGAAGTACATTGCATCCACCTTCCCATCCAGTGAGATCCAATACAAATGTGTAGCCAGGGTACAACGGTATGCCCAGAATGACTGTTCGGTACCTTGGTTTTAAGGTCATGGAACAAACAAAGCTGCTTATCTTTTTATTTATTTTTTTGTAAACGGGAGCATGTTTTTGTGACATTTAAAACGGCAAACTGCTAGCAATAAATTCTCCAGTGAAAGTCACAAAATAAATTGGGTACACGATAAAATAAAACAAATACGGCGGCGCAGTGAAGTGGTGTTCTTCCATCTGCCTCACAGTTTCATAGGTTCTGCGTGTCAATCTTGGGCCTTCTCGTGCGGAGGTTGCATATTTCCCCGCACTGCTGCTGCTTCCCAAATTCCAAAGCATGCACCTTAGGTTCATCCAAGACTCCAAACTTTGCCCAAACTTTTTCCTGTGAGGGCCAAATAACTTTTCCCTTCTCTGACGGGGGCACAGTTCGATTTGTAACAAAAAGTGTGGCAGAGTGTGAGGAGTTTCCTGACATTCAAGCGCGCAACTTGACTCGCATGGGAAACGTTCCTGCAGGGAGTCCGCTGTGTTCGCTTTGTATGGGCCGTTGAAACTTGATCTTCCATCTTTGGACATGTTACTGTCCTCCTGGATGTCAACAAGACTTATTGTTTTATCGCAAAGGCAGATTAAAGGGCTGTCTGGAATCTGCTGACTCTTTAAAGATTTCCGTCCGAGGCGATTAAGTCACTCCTTGTTGGGAAATGTGGAAGAGCTTTGTGTCAGAGGGGAGAAGAAAAGAAGAGCTTCCTCCTCGTGTGACGTCAGAGCTGGAGCAATAGCGCAACGAGACATTCCCAGAGAGGGCGTGTCCTCCGGCACCCACGCACACATGTAGACATAAGTCATTAATGAGAATTGCAGGTTGCGGAGAATTGCAGAAAAAGAAGAAAAAAGAAGTCAGTGTTGGTGTCATTCATACAGCTCAATGGATTATAAAACTGGCTTCTGATAACTTTTGAAAGCAGAAAATTCCGAAGGGGATTAAGTGTCCTGGATTGGTGCAGAATGGTACATACCAGAGAAATGTTAAAAAGGTGGCCAAATGTGCACTTTTACAAGCTGTGCACCAGGGATACCATCTGTGTAGGTTGCGGAGGGGGGGGGGGGTTCAAAATGCCAGTTTTTTTTAAATCATTCTTGTGTGCGTGTGTGGTTTCATTTTCCTGTCTGATGCTAAATATGACGTGTGGTGGTGAGAGGAATCTGGTACAGAGATACGGCTGGCGTCCAATCAACACAAACATGGAGTTATTGGAGTCATGCTGGCTGCATGCGTGTGTGTTTGTGTGTGCGAGAATGTGAGGGTGAAAAGGAGAGAGAGAGAGGACAATTTGATTGCCCTTTCCTTTCTAGCCAAAACTGACACCCACTTAGCTGCCGCGACCGAGACAACAGAGGGTGAGAGATTAGTGTTGAAGTTGTTGCTGGGGTTGGGGGGGTGATTCCTGGCATGACCCGTTTGTGTGTGTGTGCGTGTGTGTGTGTGTGTGTGTGTGTGTGTGTGTGTGTGTGTGTGTGTGTGTGTGTGTGTTCATTGTGACTTTAGCTAGCCGTAACATAGCGACACACGCACACACACAGAGACAACATATTCATCCACATCTCATGATTTCAACACTGTTTGTTCGTCGGCTAACTGAATCGGACCCCCAAAACAAGCTTTTAGCATTTTTCACGAAACACACGTCGTCCTTATCAAAGTTAAGGTGGAGTCCTCTTCAACCGCCGACCGCCAACCTTCACGCTTGTCATGTGTCATGAAGCATCCTACTAGCAATTCGACAGGCCTGATTGCTACCTAAGTAGCTAGGTGACTAGAGGTTCGGCTGTGGCAGTCCCGTGCATGTTTACACTTGCATGGCAGTCAAGAATGTTAAAATGGAAGTGGATTGCAGTTATTATGGCCCTGTCGAACAATTAAGCTTCGGGGAATTACACTGTAGTTTTAAAAGAATTTTGTTTAGCCTCAAGACTACTGTCTTGAACATTCATCTAATATAATCCCCAAATCATGACATTTTTGCCTTGTTTCTTTGAACCCCAGTTTTGTCAGTGAAGTTATGAATCACCTCTAATGAGAAAGGATTCATGCGTTCTCACAATACATTTCCTTCTTCACCGTTCCAATCGTCCACGTGTGTCCCGCATGTCTCGACACGCCGCTGACATCATCCTGTCACGCGCACACTACAAAGTACGTCACGCCGCATTCAGGACGTGCCCTTATCCACAGTGAGGATGATGATTATGTGCGGGGGGGTGACGTCACGGCTGCCGGTCATGGGATACCCTCCCTCTCACAAGCAGATGGGATTATGGGATATGTCTCAGCGGCAGATCTCCCCTGCCTGTGACACAGGTGGTAGTCAACGGTCAGGCTGACATGAATCTCTCCGGAGACTTGGACGCCTGTGGTGAGGTTGCCGTGGGGGCGAACGTTGGCTGTTGGAGCTGTGAGTCAATGGCATCCCCAGTGCAAGGAGTCAGCAAACCTTTTTGCTCGAGGGTAACTTTAGATTTTTTTTCAAATGGACAGAAGAGTAAGGCTATTATTATTATTTTTTATTTTTTTTAAGGGAAAGTCAGCAAAATATATAATTTTCATTTTGTATGAATATGTTTTTAATACATGACTTGTACTTAAATCATATTTAGTTTATTTCAATAAAATAATTCTTTATCACAGTTAATGTGCATTAGTCATAATTATTTTAATTACGTTAATTAACAATGACTGAAATATCATACTGTTAAATGTATGTCTGAAATTGTAAAAAAAAAAACAAAAACATTATTTGAGAAGTGATCACAAATGCATGTTAGAAAAGTACATTACTGTACATTAAATGAACCAATTTTGCAGAAGTCTTGACCGTGTAAATGATTGGTGAGCCGGATGAAAGAACACAGGGCCATATTTCGTCCTGCCATGCCCGAGTCGATCATGAATCTACCGTCTTTGTAGTTTACAACCCTGTACAGTAAAAGCACCAGGACTGATGCTAACCAAAATAGCAGCGCCTACATAACATAGTCCATCGATCTCCTCTTGCCGTAGCACTTGCCCTCATGAAGAACACAGGTGAGGCGGAGCTTATCCCAGCTGATTTAAGGCAGGAGGTCGGGTACGCGACGGACTGATCACTGGCCAGTTGCAGGGCTTATATTGACAACTCATTCAGAACCAGAAATCGCTAATGCCCTTACATGTGGGAAAGGAGAGCCACAGTCGCCAATGCACTTTTTCAGCCATTTATTACAATGGGCTCTCTCGTGCAGGTGCTGTCGTCAGCCACGGCTCACAGACACTCACACTCTCACCAGAGCTTGTGCCAACCTTTTCACCTCTCTCCAACTGTCTGATTCTCAGCTGTTGCCATATCATTTCTGAAACGTATCCCCCGTGACAAACGGCATTCATTGTAACTTTTCACCTCTCTCCAACTGTTTGTTTCTCAGATGTTGCCATATCCCGGGTGTTATTGAAACGTATCCCCCGTGACAAACGGCATTCATTGTATGCGTTGTGTGTGGAGATGTACAATTAGATGTGAATCCAAATCACAATTGTTGGGCCTCAAAGACCAGATGCATCGCTCAGTTAACGTTTCATGTTCTCTTTCTCCTTTCTGCAGTTTCGACGTGGACAATGGAACATCATCAGGTCGCAGCCCCATTGTGTGTGGAGATGTACAATTAGATGTGAATCCGAATCACAATTGTTGGGCATCGGCAGGAGTTTGAGTGACATCTTCCATTATTTACGAAGACCAGATGCATCGCTCAGTTAACATTTCTTGTTCTCTTTCTCCTTTCTGCAGTTTTGACGTGGACAATGGAACATCATCAGGTCGCAGCCCCCTGGACCCGATGGCCAGTCCAGGATCGGGCCTCATCCTGCAGGCCAACTTTGTCCACAGCCAGCGGAGGGAGTCGTTCTTGTACCGCTCAGACAGCGACTACGACCTCTCTCCCAAGTCCATGTCCCGAAACTCCTCCATCGCCAGTGACATGTGAGTGCTTCAGGCTATTCATTTTTTGTTTATTTCTTTGTTTTTAAACCAACCCCGTGTTCCCCTGTTGCATTGAAAGCTTTTAATTCTATTTTTAGACCTTGCCTGTCTGAATGTGTGTCTGAGTGCCACAGCTGGATGTTTATCAGCATAGGTCATAAAGCTGCCACACGGGCCACCTTTGGCTCTGGAGGGAAGTGTGCATGACCGACAGCTCGCCGAGTGGTGTCACATCTATTCTTATCACATATCGCGCGCAAGCTGCGCGGTGAAGTATCTTAAATCACTGCTGAAACGCCCGCTGTTGACACACTACTCTTTATTGACTCAACACTCCTGCACAAGCAAATCCAATAGAAGTGTGGAAAACTCAGCCTTCAGCGGGATAATCATGCTCCGTTTTTGACTGACGTCGCCATCTTCATATGATGATCGCATGCTCCCCCGCTGCTATCCGGTTTCATGAAGTAGTCGTACAGGAAATGGAATTATTGGTTGGAAAAAGGTAGCTTCTTGATCGAGCCTGAAAGGGAAGATGGGGGAAAGAGCAATGAATGGATAATGACCTGCATTAACTTAACACACTACGTGGCCCCTTATTTCTGCTTTTTACTTGGCTGTCATAAAACTATCATTTGACAGTAATATAGGATACGCAATTTGGTTCACGGAGAATCCTGAAATAGCCCCGACTCAGCTTTATTTTTAAAAACACCTTCCATTCAAATATTCAGCGTCCTTATGTAATTGGTAAATATTTGTCCCAAATGCAAAAAAAAAAAAAAAGAAAAAAAATTATGATGCAAAAACAACATTTCCCTAGTAAGAATCTAAGAATAAAATGTTAATCGCCATACAAAAAAAATGAGTGCTATTTTTATATTATGAATTAAAATATTAAAAGAGCGTCATAGTTTTGATCAATAAACATAATACAAGAATGCCTGAATGTTACTCTTACGCAGCTGTGATATGAGAACTGGATGCAAATCACGTCAAAATGATATGAATAAAACACATCATTGTTTTACACCAGAGAAAAAAAAAATGTTCCAAGATGGACCGATCACCTGAACAAATGTTGACGGTGAGCTTTGAGGTCAGCAGCACGAATGTGTATGACTCACGGTCTCAGGAGTCCAATTCCTTTCAAGAGGTAGCAAAATGCGTAAAGGCCTCTTCCTTTTGCCTGCCATCCTGTTGGATTTTCCCAGAATCCTTCAATGATGTCAGAGAATAGGAAATCCTCATGCGTGGAAGCTTTTACTGCGTCACCACATTCTAGCGCCCGCCACATACCCAAAGCCGGCTTGTAAGTAGCGAGTGCCTAAAACAGCTGCTGATGTAAAGTCAATGTGTCACTGTGATGGAGTACATGACGAACACTGAAGCTTCTCAGATGACGACACCCCATTATTTTCCCACTCTGACCTTTTTTTATGTCATGTGCTTGTCCTCATGCTGAATTGACAGCTGACATTTTATATGTAATTTTATTCTTATACGTGCGTGTGTGTGTGTGTGTGTGTGTGTGTGTGTGTGTGTGTGTGTGTGTGTGTGTGTGTGTGTGTGTGTGTGTGTGTGTGTGTACAGTAATTACTTCGTGTACACAGTCATTGGCCACAGTTAGAAGCCACCATACAATGGTCAAGGTGTGAATGTGGGGTTTTTTTCCCCCCAATTTATTTATTTGTGTGTGTAAAACTTGCTTTAAAGTCTCTCTAAAGTCTGTGTTGTGTGTTTTCCAGCCATGGTGACGACATGATTGTAACGCCATTTGCACAGGTGAGCTTTTTCACCGCCATTTGATATAATATAGTTATTAAAAAAATAATAAATAAATTTACCAATACTCTTACCTTGTGCCTTTCAGGTCCTTGCCAGCCTAAGAACTGTAAGGAATAACTTTGGTGCATTAACCAACCTGCAGCAAGACAGAGCATCTAATAAGTACGTTTGCTCCATTTTGTTGGAATTTGTGGGAAACTTGACGACAAACTGCATATCTTGTGCTCACTCAAAATGTGGCTTTGTACCCCCTCCTCTGTTCCCCTGCGGTATTACAGCAGCAGCTTGACAACCTTTTACTGCCATTACTGAGTACATGATCCAATTGTCTGAATTAAATGCCTCCCTCAAATTGGCACATCCCTTTTACCGTCCAGAGGGGGGGGAAAAAACATATAGTAACTGTAATTATCCGGGTCTGTTAATAAACACGATTGTGCACACATGAACATTAAAGATTGGATGTCTAGGACCCATTTGCACTCTGTTGCTAACCAAAACAGCAGCAAAGTACATTTCTCAGGTTTATGAGTTGTGATTTACAATTTAAGTTATTATTCAACTACTGTGTCCAACTACCTCTAATGGATGCCGTGGCCCAATTAATCACTGAGTGGTCCGCTTCCCTTTTCCTTTCAGAGAGCAAAAGTATGTTGGAGTAAGTGCAATTATCTCAGTTCATAGAAGTTATTACTCAAATACATACGTTACATGGTTAATTTCTGCACCATTTAGTGATTTGAGTGCATTAAATAGATGCCTCTTTCAAATAAATGCCTCCCTATTCCAATCCCCAGGGGACACACACACACACACACACACACACACACACACACACACACACACACACACACATGTCTCAAGTGTAATTATTTTAGTTCATCGATGCTATTGTTTAGATACTATTTTCATTGGTGAGGCCATTAGAACTATGTTGCTAACCAAAACTGCCACACCTAGCAAAGCATGTGAACAATCTCTTAGAGATTTAAAAAAAAATAATAATAATAAATAAATAATAATAATGACGTTGCGTGTTGTTTTCCTCACAACAGGAGATCACCCATGTGCAACCCACCACCCATCACCAAGACCACCTTTACAGGTTTGTCGACAAGTCAATAATACATCCACTGTCTGGTCAAAATATCATCAGACTGTCTGACCTATTTTATGATGGTTGTTGTGATTAAGATGGGCTGTCTGTTTTTTTGTTGTTTTTTTTTTTTTTCTCATAGTAAGGACACACTTGTTCTCATCAGGCACTTTTACATGACTTCTAGCAATATAGACCAGGGGTGGTCAAACCATGGTCCAGGAGCCATTTATGACCCACTGTCCTTTTTTTTCAATGACCGTGACATATACTAAACTTAGTAACCATTACAAAGCCATGGTTGTCGTCTACAATGGAAAAAAAAAGTAAGCCAAGGGGAAAGTATGAAAACAATGAGCCTTGCTATTACTCCAAATGATAATAATCAATCAGTCATCATCATATTAATATCAATAATAATATTAATGAATTAATAATAATACATTTGTTTTACATTGAGCTTTTCCAGATATGGCCCTGATGTCGGCCATTCACGGTAAAGTCCATATTGCACTTTCGCATGCATTTGTGCATGGAAATGAGCGCTGTTGCGACGTCAAAGCTCGAATATTATCTCCTTTTAGGATTGACTTTTCCGATAAATTGCCTCTTCCTATATATGGGACGTCTGTCGATGCCGCGCTATATTTAGAGCCCAATCATACTGGTTAGCGGCCATTATGGGCCCTGCCATAAACCGGTGACAGCTGTGAGTCACGGTAGTGATTGTTTGAGAGTATTGACGACCTGTAACGGCAAGGCAGGGGGTTCATCAAGGGGAAATTAGCTCATGGTTGAAGTAAAACCAGACGTATTATTACACATATGTGTGTGTGTGTGTGTGTGTGTGTGTGTGTGTGTGTGTGTGTGTGTGTGTGTGTGTATATATATATATATATATATATATATATATATACATATATATATATATTTTTTTTAAGAGCCAAAATAGTTTGGCGCTGTATCAGCAGCGTCTCAAACGTTATATTTTAAATAAATGTCATGAGAATCTGTAAATTTCCTCAGGCGATAGCCATGTCCTATTCATATTTGTCAAAGCAAAGTCATTGTTTTAGTTAATGAATCATAATTAACAAATGTTAATTATGATTCATTATTTCAAATCAAGTCTGAACAATGAATTTAAAACATGAGGAAGGATTATAATTTCATTCTTAAAACTCTTTTACATTTTTTTACATACCCTTTTAAATCGTTTTTCTTACTTTCTTTTTCAATCAATCCGTTTGAAGAATCAAACGCGGCCCTTGAGAACAAAAGTTTGCCCAACACCGCTTTCCACTACCCCATGATTGATTTATTCACTGATGAAGAGGTGTGTCCGAACTCTTGAGACCACATGGCGTGCCTCTGGCTAAATTCTTCATCCTGCGCCCTCCCAGTCCTGTTTCGCCCGCCCAGCCGCTCCGCTTCGTGGTTTGTCTGCAGCCGTGCGTCTGTGCCGCAGCAGAGTGGCCTCTCCGAGCACCCGGTGTCTGATGTCGCACTAAGCATGAGAAGAATGTCATTGACGTCAGTGCAGTCGCTGTCAGAAAGGGTAGCACCCCAGTCGCCGACACCTCAGCCACGGAGGGTAAATGGGGAAGAAAGAGGACAGACAGACGAGACGCGTCCGGGGAGAGGAAGGAGGATTATTGTGACAGAAAGGGGAGAAGGAGGATATTGTTGACAGTAGCTCGGTGACATCGGAGCTCCTTGAAGATGAACGGGCATCCTGTTTACGCTTTTGTGTGACCGCACTGACACGATTGTCACATGATAGCAACGACGCGTGTGTCATGATAGCCCCAAAGAAAGATGACGCCGTGTTGTGACGACATCATGTGATTCGGTGTGCAGCGAAGCCTCTGAAGGAGAAAGGCCCCGAAAGTCATACAATCGGGAATTGAAACAAAAATATGCTTTAAAGTCGAATAAAATGTGTCATTCAAACCAAATCCTGGGTGACTTTTTTTACATACCCTTTTAAATCGTTTTTCTTACTTTCTTTTTCCTCATCTACAAATGACCTGGCCCATCAATCCGTTTGAAGAATCAAACGCGGCCCTTGAGAACAAAAGTTTGCCCAACACCGCTTTCCACTACCCCATGATTGATTTATTCACTGATGAAGAGGTGTGTCCGAACTCTTGAGACCACATGGCGTGCCTCTGGCTAAATTCTTCATCCTGCGCCCTCCCAGTCCTGTTTCGCCCGCCCAGCCGCTCCGCTTCGTGGTTTGTCTGCAGCCGTGCGTCTGTGCAGCAGCAGAGTGGCCTCTCCGAGCACCCGGTGTCTGATGTCGCACTAAGCATGAGAAGAATGTCATTGACGTCAGTGCAGTCGCTGTCAGAAAGGGTAGCACCCCAGTCGCCGACACCTCAGCCACGGAGGGTAAATGGGGAAGAAAGAGGACAGACAGACGAGACGCGTCCGGGGAGAGGAAGGAGGATTATTGTGACAGAAAGGGGAGAAGGAGGATATTGTTGACAATAGCTCGGTGACATAGGAGCTCCTTGAAGATGAACGGGCATCCTGTTTACGCTTTTGTGTGACCGCACTGACACGATTGTCACATGATAGCAACGACGCGTGTGTCATGATAGCCCCAAAGAAAGATGACGCCGTGTTGTGACGACATCATGTGATTCGGTGTGCAGCGAAGCCTCTGAAGGAGAAAGGCCCCGAAAGTCATACAATCGGGAATTGAAACAAAAATATGCTTTAAAGTCGAATAAAATGTGTCATTCAAACCAAATCCTGGGTGACTTCAGTAGTCGAAGAAACACAAGAGCATCAGAGGGCCACTCGTGTGCAAGGGCAGCGTGTGGTTTTCAGTCGTGGCCAAAACAATTGTCGCATAAGATTGTTTGAATGGTGTGAAGCTGCAACCGAGCCGTATCTGTGAAAGCAACGTCGCACTTTTCCGACGGCTGTCTAAAAGGCACAGGCAAAATCAATGTTAAAATCTTCCATTTCTCCCGTGAAGGCGGTGTTACAGCGGCAGCACTGTGACCTCGTGGTTAGCACGTCTGCCTCACCGTTCTGAGGTTCACGGTTCGAATTGATGCTCGAAACTTGCTTGCTTGCGTGCATGCGATTGAAAAACAAATTTACGTTTGGATGCATTTGTATTTTCTTAAATAAAGCGTGAAACCAACAATAATAAATAATAATGCTTGTCAACATCAGATTCTAATCAGAGGATATCTTTATGTCCTTAAATGTATTTTTGACGCTGACTATAAAATGTCTTTATTTGTTCCAATTTTCTTTGTTTGCGTAATAGATTTTTTTTTTTTTTAATCAGTTCATCCTAACGAGGAGTGCGGATGTGCTGCAGCCTATTCTCGCTGTCTTTGAGCAGTAGGCGGGCTACACCCAGAACATGTAAACTTCACACTCAAAGGCCGGAGCCGGAATCAAATCGTGCACCTCTGTACTGAGGCCGACGCACTAACCTCGAAAGTCATACAATCTGGAATTGAAACAAAAACATGCTTTAAAGTCGAATAAAATGTGTCATTCAAAATAAATCCTGGGTGTCTTCAGTAGTCGAGGAGACGTAAGAGCAACAGAGGGCCACTAGTGAGCAAGGGCAGCGTGTGGTTTTCAGTTGTGGCCAAAACAATTGTCGCATAAGATTATCTGAATGGTGTGAAGCTGCAACGGAGCCGTATCTGTGAAAGCAACGTTGCACTTCTCCGACGGCTGTCTGAACGGCACAGGCAAAATCAATGTTAAAATCTTCCATTTCTCCTGTGAAGGCGGTGTTAAAGCGGCAGCACTGTGAACTCATGGTTTGTACGTCTGCCTCACCGTTCTGAGGTTCACGGTTCGAATTGATGCTCGAAACTTGCTTGCTTGCGTGCATGCGATTGAAAAACAAATTTACGTTTGGATGCATTTGTATTTTCTTAAATAAAGCGTGAAACCAACAATAATAAATAATAATGCTTGTCAACATCAGATTCTAATCAGAGGATATCTTTATGTCCTTAAATGTATTTTTGACGCTGACTATAAAATGTCTTTATTTGTTCCAATTTTCTTTGTTTGCGTAATAGATTTTTTTTTTTTCAAATCAGTTCATCCTAACGAGGAGTGCGGATGTGCTGCAGCCTATTCTCGCTGTCTTTGAGCAGTAGGCGGGCTACACCCAGAACATGTAAACTTCACACTCAAAGGCCGGAGCCGGAATCAAATCGTGCACCTCTGTACTGAGGCCGACGCACTAACCAGTCGACCACCGGGCCGCCCGATGTATTGACCAGTGTTGTCAATGTATTAATTTTTGTTTGCCCTCTTCGAGTAACCTCTCTTTTTGCCGGAAAAGTGTGACTGATTTACAACCCTGGTAAAAACGTTTATAGTCGCAGTCAGTATTAGTTGAAACTGTAAATATACCAAAAATCATCATCCCAAAACACTTGAATATCGACACAATATAACATGCTTCCTTCCTTCCAATTACTGTGCTCCTCTTTCCATTCAGAAAGGGCTTTGGCGCCATTTTGTGGCCATCTTAGGGCATTCCAGAAAGTGAAAATGGCACTTGCTGATTTTTAAGCAACTAGCTAAGGGATAGGTTTCTCCACAAAGACCACTAATTGGTGAATTTGTGAACCGCAACAATGCAAGGGGCGGCTGTCCATGAACTGAATATGCTCCCCTCGTGTTCCCAGCTCACATAGTATTAAAAGCACTGGGCTTTGGATTCCGCCCTCTCCCCCCGCCATGTTAGTTGTTTACCTCCTGTTCAGCATATTTGTATGCTGATCATATAGTTGACGTGCATGCACTGACTATAGCAGGCGCTCCCATGCAGCTGCCCTGCTCCGCGTATAGTCCAGTCCATGTGTTGTCGCTTTCCTTTCCCCATCTACAGTGCGGTCCTCTCAGGCTTTAGGTACAGCACGTTTTGGCTACCAGGGACGCCGAAGCAACAGCAAAACCCCTCCAAACCTCCCCACCCCTGAGCCCCACCTCCGTCCCTTTACACACACAGCATCTGTCTGGCTAGCATACAGGAATCTACCCCCGCGGATACCATGGATGTTTTTATCTGCACACGAGGAGGCTGAAGCATCATGTGCTAGTGTTACGTGCGGTGCGTGTGAGCGTGTTTGCGCGCGTGTGTGTTTGGTAGTCATGTCAGGATGCTTCGACGGGGATCCGAGGCGGTTGTGAGCCCCCCAGTCGCATTCGGTGTGTCTCCATCCTCCCTCCTCCCGGGCCTGCTGGGCAGACTGCTCTTCATCCTGCTACATGACTGGAATTACACCTTTCATATGAATGACATTGTGGAGCTGCTGAGGCAGGAAGTGGCGTGACTGTGCCTTCGTGCTCTCCGCTTGGACAGCTCTCTGGCTTCTATGTTACCCGCCGTTAGCCTCTGGGCCCCCCCTACTCCTGAGATACCCCGTCACCAGACACACACCCTCCCCCAAGAGCTGGACCGTCCAGTATGAAGAGTCACCCATGTGTCTACTCGGGCTATCCCAGCTTAGCCGTGTGTGGTGCGGGAGACCCCGACCCCGGGCCTGGGCCGTCCACTAGCCCCTTGAAACGGGCCATTACTGACCCCTTACCGTCCTGTCTCGTCCCCGCAGAGGAGGCCTACCAGAAACTGGCCACTGAGACTCTGGAGGAGCTTGACTGGTGCCTGGACCAGCTGGAAACCCTGCAGACCAGACACTCGGTCAGCGAGATGGCCTCCAATAAGGTAAGGATGACCAGAAGTCGCTTTGTGTACTGTGTTTCCTCATCTCGTGGCCCCAGGCTTTGTTTACTCAACTGCAGAGAGTGCCAATGCAACCGTGCTACTCTGCCCCAACTCTGGTGTTGATGTTGAAGGGAGGGCACAGTTTAAAAAAATCAGGAAAAGGAATTTCAGGGTTAGGGTCTCGACTGGAGGGGAGGCCTTGTGAAAATATAGTGCATCACAATTTTTGGTTTTTTGGTATGTAATGTTATCCACTTGTCGATCATGGCAATCTGTCATTACCTATTCATATCGACTGTTGTTTGAAAATGGATTTTTACGCCACATTTACTTACGCTCATGCCCTAAAACCACAGTCTCCAAAGTCAACCTGCTTATTGAATGATGAGGTTCAGTAAAACAAATACACAATGAACTCACTCATAGAGGATCTGCTTTCGGCCTCAGCTCACGCTAACTAACTCGTGCACGGATTCACCATAGATCGGCCCATCCTTGTAGACTTAAGATGCCACCCCACTGGGTCCCATTTAGGCACATCCCTAACACATAGACACACTAATCACCCTCTCCTCGGACTGGAGACAGCCACAGAAATTGTGAGTAGTTGACAACCCTCCCTAGAAAGTTCTGCTTATTACAAATGAGTTGATTTTGAGAATATAGAGATAATACTAGAGTTGTGTGCGTGCGTACAATTGTTATGAAGCCTCTCCGTACTTTCTTCTAACGACACAGGCTCAACTTAGCTCCTCTCCGCCCCAACATACAAAACTTGCCTTTCCGTTGTGATGTACCACCTCAACATACTTCCTTCACACCAACTCCTATTTAGATGGCCCTTTGGCGACACCTTGTGGCGTCTGGATGAATTTCAGAAACTATTTTTAAAAAACATGGATATTTGAATGGTTTCAATCAGTTGAGAAACATGGCAGGCCAAAAAAGTGGGAGTCGTCATAGAAAAAAATGGTGCAGCTCTTGAGCACTCACACATAAAGCATCGCCTCAATTTGAAGCGTAAACTGCACATCCACACTTACGCTGACTGCGTGTCGTCTCTGATCATACGTCACAAATGACAGCCGCTCGTCTATTAGCATTGTCAGCACGTCGCTTCACTGAATTTCAGAAACTATTTTTAAAAAACATGGACATTTGAATGGTTTCAATCAGTTGAGAAACGTGGCAGGACAAAAAAGTGGGAGTCATCATAGAAAAAATGGTGCAGCTCTTCAGCACTCACACTTAAAGCATCGCCTCAATTTGAAGCGTAAACTGTACATCCACACTTACGCTGACTGCGTGTCGTCTCTGATCATACGTCACAAATGACAGCCGCTCGTCTATTAGCATTGTCAGCACGTCGCTTCTACTGTGCCAGCGATAGCATCAGCGTGCAGCCAAGGAGCATGCTCAGTCAGTGTCAGCGTGTGTGCACGTGCGCGTGCCTGCGTGTGTGTGCATACAGCACACTCCTTCTGAATGCTGATCATCTGCGGTGATGTCACACCTTGTGATGTCACCCAAAAAAAAGAGGGGGTAGTAGGTGGGTTATGGAAACGGCAAGACAAAGGTACAAAAAGCGCTGATGTCATCCAGCATTGCATACATGAGATCATATAAATGCGGGAGAATGTGTTCAGCACACCCCTCACCACACCACCACCACCACCACACCACCCAGCATCCGCGGCTTTACTATAGTTGGTTGCCATGGCAACAGCGACGGGTCCTACAAGGTGCCCCGCTATCACATTGTAGCTGTTGCATTCACGTTAAGATGCAGCCATTTCTGATTTGTTGAATACAATATGGGAAAGCTAACTCCCAGCAGTTTGATTGCCTTCCTGTGAACATCCGCACTTCAGGTTTCGTTTGTCACTGTCGTGTTTAAATTTTTTTTTTTTTTTTTTTTAAATCTGACTGCTGATAAAAGGTAAATTGTAAACTGCAGTCAATTATTTATTCGGTCATTCACAATTACAGTTAACGTTATAAGTGATGCTGCTGACTCTGGGAAATCCTGTGCTTTTTGTTAATGTTTGAATTTAAAACAAAGATAAGTGAAAGATTTTTTTTTCAGTTATATTAGAAAATTGATTGGCTGGCAACCGGTTCAGGGTGTCCCCGGCCTACTGCCCTAAGACAGCTGGGATAGGCTCCAGCACCCCCCGCGACCTTTGTGCGGATAAGCGGATCGGAAAATGAATTAATCTGAATGAATGAATGAATATAGAAAATTTGGAAAACCCAATTAACGGGAGGAAACTTTAGGGCTATTTCTCTGTTGAAGTTTTATTTAACTTTATAAGATGTGCTGTTGACCTTTGGAGGTCCCTGCACTTTTTGGGGGAAATTTTAAAACGAACATGTCTGTTGTCTAAGATTAAACATAAACTTGAATCTGGTATGTTAGAAACCTGAAAATCTTCAATGCATCTTAACAAAGTAATGTGTTGGTGTTTGTCTGATTCAAAATGACAATGCCAATGCTGATCGTAAAATGAATGAATGTGAATGAATGAATATAGAAAATTTGGAAAACTCAATTAACGGGAAGAAACTTTAGGGCTATTTCTCTGTTAAACTTTTATTTAACTTTATAAGATGTGCTGTTGAGCCTGGGAGGTCCCTGCACTTTTTGGGGGAAATTTTAAAACGAACATGTCTGTTGTCTAAGATTAAACATAAACTTGAATCTGGTATGTTAGAAACCTGAAAATCTTCAATGCATCTTAACAAAGTAATGTGTTGGTGTTTGTCTGATTCAAAATGACAATGCCAATGTTTTCCCTTTTACTGCAAATGACTATTGGGTCCAAATATTGGTTATCGGCCTCCTTGACAACTAATATAGATATTGGCCCTGAAAAAAAAAAGAAAAAAAAACACATCGGTGTATATTGAACGATCTATATGTGTATCCATCTGAAATTGTGTGCAGAATGGACCGTGGAAGAAACAGGCCACAGAAATGGGACTTTATTTGCAGCAGCATGAAGCATTGGTTATAAGACGATAATGTTGTGTTTGTTATTTATAATAATATATTGTGAATGTTTTTATAACGCTTCCTAAGAGCTAGTACCTTTGAGATCCAGCAGGGGGTGGTGTTGTTTTGAGGAAGAGCCTCCTTGACAACTAATATCAATATTGGCCCTGAAAAAAAAAACAAAAAAAAAAAACATTGGTGTATATTCAACGATCTATATGTGTATCCATCTGAAATTGTGTGCGGAATGGACCCCGGATGAAACACGCCACAGAAATGGGACTTTATTTGCAGCAGCAAATGTTTTTTGTTATTTATAATAATGTGAATGTTTTTATAACGTTTCCTAAGAGCTAGTACCTTTGAGATCCAGCAGGGGGTGGTGTTGTTTTGAGGAAGAACATTTTTAATCCCTTTTTTTTTTTTTCACAGCGATTCAAAGGTGACCGTAAAATGTGATTCAGAGCCAAATTTGATTTGGTCATTTGTAGATAAGGTTCAAATAATTTTTTTCATATTTACATGTAATGTAAGTAATGTAAAAAAAATAAGTATTAGAATTGAGAAGTATTTTTTGGGGAAATAAATTATGATTCATGAACCAATGATTTATCCAAATTTTAAAGTTATTGGTGTAAAAGCAGTGTACATACATCAATAAAATCAATTCTCTCTCTTTTACACCAAAACAAAAACAAAGCACTCATTTGGTCATTTGTAGATAAGGTTCAAAGAAATTTTTTCATATTTACATGTAATGTAAGTAATGTAAAAAAAAAAATAAGTCTTAGAATTGAGAAGCATTTGTTTTTTGGAAATAAATTATTAACCAATGATTTATCCAAATTTTCAAGTTATTGGTGTAAAAGCAGTGTACATACATCAATAAAATCAATTCTCTCTCTTTTACACCAAAACAAAAACAAAGCACTCAGGGGAAAAAAATTAACATATCAAAAATACAGGGGACCAAAAAAAAAAGAAAAACAGTACATTTAGGCCTCAACAAATTAATTTTGTTAGGGAAGTTCCCATTAAGTAGACTAGCATGACCAAACAACCAAATCTTAGCATAAGGTACGTCAAAATCAAAATTAGTGAATGAGTTAACATCGTGTAGCCTTTTGAGTGCCATTTACAAGTATGCCATATTTCATTTGATAAAAAAACCCCAAAGTGTTCATATATCATGCCTTACCTTATGTCAGTGGCAATACCATTCGCATGTGCAGGTGTCGTTTCGAAAGGAGTTTGATATTTTTGGTCACTGTGCCAGAGAACAAATTGCTTTTGGGGCCTGGCTCAGCCTGGTGTGACACTTTGCAATTTGTACCCGATACTTTTTGTTCACACCTCCATTCCCAGCTATCCATACGTACGCGTGTGCGTTACATCTCAGCGAGCTGTGCATGTGTCCATGTGTGTCTGCGATCAGCCATCGCACTGGCCTCATCTGTTTTCACTGCGGCTGTAAATGACTCTCACCGCTTATGATGGGGTCAAATCAGAAGAGACATATTCTGTATTATGTTTTGACCTGACACTCACAATACACACATGCACTTGCGTTATGTGCTATTTAACAATAGCCCTTAACGCTGTGAAATTGAAGTAGAATTTGCGTTTTTTACAGAAAAAAAAAAAGACGATTGCATATTTCAATGCTTTTGTCAGAATATCCCATGGATCAAGAATTACAGCTCACCCTTCGCCATTCTTTTTATTTGTTTATTTCTGGGGTATTATTTCACGCCGTCACTTTTGTGGAGCAGTTCTCTGTCTTACGCAGGCAAAACACTTTGCCCGAGATTTTCACTTGGAGAGGCAGTACTTGATCAGAAAGTGTGTAAGTAATCAAAAATGTGTGTCAATTTATGTCTATGGAACACACAGTGGACACACAATAAAGCTGCCCACATGACAGCAACTTCACCCATCATTTGAGTATCTGCCGTTTATTAGAAACGAGCTGTTGCCTCATTCGATGCTAGTATGCTAGTGCTAACACTGCAGTTCTGCTTTTCTGACTACTGCTTCTGTGGAGTCAGACTTTATTATGTCGCCCGTCACTTGAAAAATGCGGCTCTTGGCTCATCCTAACTACCAAGTCATGGGTGGATTTATTTATTTACCCAATTACGATGTCACAACTTAGCAAAATTCTGAACATCTCGATCATAGACACATTTTCACAAAGTTAATGCTGTTAGCTTAACTTTCAACTGAACTTGCGCACAAAGTGCTGTACGTAAAGTAAAAATGACAAAAAAAAAAAAAAACAATCAATTCAACAAAACACTAAAACAATGCTAAGCTAATTCGAAACTGCGCATACATCAGAGCTCAATGTGGCTCTGCTTACCGTTTCACTTTGACACAATAACATTTTAAAAAGTCTAGTACGGCTGTCACCTGAACGATTTTCCCCTCAAGTCACGGCCAGAAAAAAAATTTACATGTTGATTAATTCACTGCCAATTCGTTTAATGCGTCACTTTGTCTCACAGTGGGGCAAAATACAGAACCACTCAAACCTTTTCAAAAAGATTTATTTAGTTGTCTGCCACCTTTGATTTCACACCATTAATTGTTTAATCTTTCATTCTGGCACGTTGACATCATCCCGGTGACTCAGTGTTACATGTGTGAGCTCAGCTTCCTTTATCATGAAGTCATTTTAGTCACCGCACTGTACACGCCAGTTCAGGTGATCACATACGTATGAATATGCACACACATATGCCTCAGCACGGAGGCGCAGGACGGTACATTTTCCACAATTTCGGGCCAATCGCACAGCTGGTGCGCTCAAGCTTACTTCCGTCCGAGCCAATCAAAAAGCAGGGTGAGCTCACCGTCCGGTCGTGCCCCGCACGCCGATTGGTTGCCGTCGCGTGGGGAGCAGCCTGTGTGCGTGGCGGGGGTAAGCTCGTGTCGCTCACACCCAGCCGAGCCGAGCACGAACGCAGGCAGGCGGGAAGGAAGGGAGCCAGCCCATGACACAAATTTTCCGCCGCTTCCCCTTTTCCTCTCTGTGGCAAGCCATCTTTTTTTTTTTTTTTTTCATTTTCGCATCCCATCTTCCCGCATCCCTCACAAGTATGCTCACGTCTGATCTTTGTGGGGGTCGCATTCCACCTGACGTTCCTCAGCGGATGCTAGCAGGATGTGAAGCACCGTGAAGACGCTCTCTGAACTTTAAGCTTTGGAACTTTGCACATTCCACTTTCTCTTTTGCGGATTTCACCCTTGTTTGTTTTGCCAAAATGCCTGAAGCAAATTATTTGTTCTCTGTGTCCTGGGGATACATTAAGGTAAGATGTTATATCAGGTGAAATAGTCAGACTCCAGATACAATGATTTTGTTTCTCTGACGCTTCATTGATGGAAATGCTGAAACCATTTACATGGAATTAAATGTTATTTTTCCACATTTAATGCTTGTCATTGCATTTACAACAAAGCTACATCAATACAATAATACTTTACTTTTCTTTCAGTGTTTTTTTAAAACATCTATGTATATATATATATATGTGTGTGTGTGTGTGTGTGTGTGTGTGTGTGTGTGTGTGTGTGTGTGTGTGTGTTACTGCTGAACCATGTCTAAAAAAGAAAAATATTTTAAGCTACTTATGAAAATTAAGGAAAAACATGTAATCTTTATCTTTAAAAAAAAAAAAAGAAGTGTTTTGTGACAAGGTGGTGGAGCCATTCTCTCGGGAGCTTCTTCTTGTTGTGCGTCACACAGCTTTTCAGGCACTGAAACACTTGTTAATGTCCATTCATTTATGTACATGTATTTATATGTTTGAGTCATGAGTATTCATCAGTTATTCAGGATTCAGAGTTTTTCTTTTTCAAATCACAAAAGTGCTCTTCACGTGACCCTTTGTGTCCATTTAAAAAAAAAAAAAAAGGAAAAAAATGTGGGTGTTATTCAGTAGGAAGTCAATAGCGTACACAATGATGCGCACTAGCGGTGCCAAAATGATCTATTTCAAGGGATCTATACCGATTCATGTGCCTTCATTAATATGCATACATCATGTGTTTAGCCTGAAGGAAGTGGCTTTTTTTTTTTTTTTTTAGGACAACAAGGCTTTGTTAAAGTAGGTATTGTGGCGCAATTTTGCTATCCAAGCACGATGGAAAATCCTCTGATTTCAAGCACCCTCTATCCATCAAATCACAAAATTATCTCCTGCCACTCCAGACCTGTGTGACGAAAGAGACAGGCACAAGCTCACTCTTACACAGGCAATGCTTGACTAAAGATTAGGTACGCCCGCAAGGGATCCAATCCCCCTCCCCCTCGCAAAGAAACGCCTTTACAACGATGATTTTGAAATTAACAGTCATGATGCAGAAGGGTGAACATCTCATACCCTGACGTCACCTTCCTGTGTGGAGTTTGCATGTTCTCCCTGTGCCTGTGTGGGTTTTCTCTGGGTACTCCGGTTTCACAAACAAAAACATGCATGGCATGTTCATGGAACACTCTAACCAGTTGAGGGTGTCCACCACCTACTGCCCGAAGACAGCTGGGATAGGCTCCAGCATCCCCCGGAGACCCTTGTGAGGATAAGCGGAGCAGAAAATGGATGGATAATTTGACAACATTGTCGATCAAGTGATCAATAATGTGATGATCTCGACCAATGAGTTCCTGCTGTTGACCCATTTTGGAGAATGACATGCTTCCAAATCCGTGGAAATGTTTTGGGGAAGGCCCTTTGCTGTTTCCACTGGTGTGGAGAGCAACATCCATAAAAGTGTGGGTGGATGAAGGTGTTGTGGAAGAACAAACCCAAAAAACACCTGGATGAGTGGATGTGCCACTATACTCCTGTATGTTTTGTTCATGCATGAGTGTTTGTTTGTTTGTTTGTTTGTTTGTTTGTTTGTTTTTTTGTATTCCACGTGTCGAGTCCCGGCGCAATGTCGCCCTATAACAAGATTTGTGTGTTGTTTTGCAGTTCAAGAGGATGTTGAACCGGGAACTGACTCACCTGTCAGAGATGAGCCGTTCTGGGAATCAGGTGTCTGAGTTCATCTCCAGCACTTTCCTAGGTGAGTGAGTTTTTCTGGATTCGGTATAAACCGTTTTTTTTTCCTTTCTTTTTTTTTCTCCATCAACTCAGACAACATCATGTTGTTATGTCTGTTATGTAAATTATCACATTTTTTTTCACCAAAACACTTTTTTATTCGTTTCAAATACGGTATATATATTTTTTTATTTTGGTGGCTTTTTTTTTTTTTTTTTTTTTTTTTGTGAAATGATCACTGTATACATAATTTGATTTAAAATGAGCTTCATGCTTGTAATGTTGTGGGCAATTTCATCTTCGTTTGGTCTTAATATTCTCTCAACTTTTTTGACTGACTCTCACGCCTTTTGTAGACAAGCAGCACGAGGTGGAGATGCCTTCACCTCAGTCTCAGAAGGACAAGGAGAAGAAGAACAAGCCCATGTCTCAGATCAGCGGCGTGAAGAAGCTGCAGCACTCGTCCAGCCTCACCAACTCCAACATCCCTCGCTTTGGCGTCAAGACGGAGACGGAGGACGAGCTGGGCAAGGTACGCTCCTCGCTTTTTACTGTACACTGACCGCCTGCTATAAGCTATGAGGAATTGACACAACCCTAAAGGGAAAAGTTCATTGCTTGACTGCAGTTATAATTTTCTAACAATAGAGGGTGCTAATTAGACTGTGAAACGGCTTTGAGCAGTTTGAATGCGGCTCAATGGAGTTTTTATGTACACTGGAAATTTGGATGCGTAATTTGGTGCTGGCGAAGTTTCCGGGCAACTTTTTTCCTTTTCCCCCAGCCGAATGCAGGAGTTAAAACGTTTAGAAATGCAAAAAAAAAAAAAAAGAACACCATGAATGAATTAAACGTTAAAACAACAGGAAGGTGGCACCAAAGTAGCACTTCAGTTGTGGCTGTTCGCTGGGGAATGAAAATATGTCTCTTGATTTCCCACTAGGAGCTGGAACACGTGAACAAATGGGGCCTTAACGTTTTTAAGATCTCGGAATTCTCCGGGAATCGGCCACTGACAGTCATGATGTACACCATATTCCAGGTAGCGCTTCTTACCTCCCGCCACCAAGCGGTAGGAGTTCAACTTTTGGATTTTAAAAGTTCTGTGCTACTTGTTTCAGGAGCGAGATTTGTTAAAAACCTTTAAAATTCCACTGGACACCTTTATCACCTACCTGATGACCTTAGAGGACCACTATCACGGCGACGTGGCCTACCATAACAATATCCACGCCGCTGACGTCACACAGTCCACCCACGTGCTGCTCTCCACGCCTGCGCTTGAGGTCAGGACCACGCACACACACACACATGCATTTATAAACTCATTGGAAGGTTGTAACTTTGTTTATGTAAAAAGTGCACTTTTAGTCTTGTAACATTGTAAGTCCCCCCCCCCGCAAAAAAACGAGACCATCTTCCCAATTCCGGGAGTGTTTTTCCTAAGAAAAAGAATGGTTTTATTCTGATTATATTTGAATTTATGTTCGAGTAAAAATTTCCTTTTTGTGTGACATTGCGACTTATATGGAATTACCATCTTGATTATTGAAGCATCATGACATTGAGGGTTTTTTAAATATATTTTATATTGTCATTATATATGGACTTTTTGAAACATCTTCATTCTTGTTATTCTTAAAAAAAAAAAAAAAACTTGTATAATTACATCTTTCATTGTGTAACATTGTGACTCTAGTCCCAGAACATTTCGATTTTTTTTCATTTTGTAGCACTGACTTTTTCTGAAAATTACATTTTTGGTCCTTCAAGTAGCACTTTAATTTTTCTCCCGTAAAATGACATCTTTAGTTTTCATATGTCTGTTTTTCTTTTATTTAAAATTATCTTTTTTTGTCTCATAACACAATGACGTTGTCCTCTGGCAACATGACTTTTTTCCCCCCCTCATAACACTTTGCCTGTGTTCTTGCCAGTTTTTTTTTCTCTGAAAGTGATGTTTTTTAGTCTCGTAACACTGTGTACTCAAGAAGAAGCGCGTACACGTGCGCATACACACCAGCATTAACGCACCGGTGAGCACGCCACAATAAGCTTCAATCAAACCTGAGCTCACTCCAATCAATGACTCGTGCTTGTGGGGATATTTTTAAACCGGTGGGTTTCTGATCGCCCCCGCCCTCCCTTCTTTTGCTTCCCGGCTGGCAGGCGGTGTTCACGGACCTGGAGATCCTGGCCGCCATCTTTGCCAGCGCCATTCACGACGTCGACCACCCTGGAGTGTCAAACCAGTTCCTCATCAACACCAGTGAGTCTAAAAGCGGCACTTTTTTTTTTTTTGGCACCTACGTCACGTTTGTTCACACGACACACTGTTCTAAAGTGGGGAGTATGTGCTTGCAGACAATACACACAGAGATACACACACGTTTGTGTAACAAGCCATTTTCATATTCGGTGGTTATTTCAGTGCCTGGATGATCGAGAACCAGAGAGTATACAACTTTGAACAGCAAAATAGGAGGCAATTTAATAAGTGTCTGGAGAGAAAATTATATCATATAATGCTAAATGCATAGTTAAACAGGACCAGAAATAAATGATGTTAAATTACAACATACGTCACACAGGAGGAGTGGGTGAGAAGACAAAAATTATATTAACATAGTATATTGAATATTTACAACATCGGTAGAAGTGTCGCTAGCTCGTTATTTGTTTGTTTTCACACTATAGTTCTGAGTTTGGATTTTTGATTTGGAGATCTGTACAATAAATGTTTTCAAAATTGTATGACAGTGGAGATCTCTCTTTTTCTTCAGTCAATTTAGCTAAAGAACCATACAACTCATTCAGAAAGAGCTTGAACTGAAATGTATATTTGCTTTTGAAATAAGTTGAATTCAAAATAAGTGATAGTGAGAAATTAAAAACGCTGGTGATTTAAAAAAGAAAAAAATAATAGTTCATTTGTTTATAGTCATATTGTTCTTGTTTAATGTAAAAAAAAAAAAACATTGCTCCTCAAAATGGAAAAGTTGTTCCTCAAATGAAGTCACTGTTCCTCAAAGAAAAATTGTTAGAGTATTCCGAGCCTTGCTTTGCTGTACACACTCCCATTACTAGCTGTACAAATACAAATGTTAAAGCCCCCGTCCGCCACACACACACGCACACACACACACACACACACACACACACACACACACACACACACACACACACACACACACATATATGTACAAATGTGATGTCCACGTGTCGGCGCACATCTTCCCGTGTGTGCATGCGGTCACGTGTGATGACAGGTGACCTCGTGCTGGCAAGGTGGTGAACGGAGTTCAAAGTGGACCATCAGTCGTGCTTTTCAGCTTCAACTCAACATTATTAGCCACTCACGCTAACAGCTCTTCTGGGAAACTAAGCAGAGTCACTAAAAGGACAACATGCTTCCTGAGCTGACTTGAATGAAATGGCACAGCCATTACAAATGACTTAAAGTCACGTTTTTTGCAGCCAATCATCGTAGACTAGCCAGGGCACCTGCCATGTCAGTGCTTGCATCAGTGCCAAGGTTCCTGCTCAGAGAACATTTCTCCTTACTAATATAAGAACACCAAACAATTATTCCTTGTAGTTCCTTAAAATAGGTTTACGCAATAAGTAGATGTCTCTTCATAAATAGCCATCTTTCTAATCATCATTACCAACTTGAATGGTGATTAATGGTTCTTATTTTTAGAGGCGCGCCCAGGGCACGTCACGTTAGCTTGAGCAAAAGTTCAACGCAACCACAATTGCTTCTTATTTCTTTAAGTCTGAGCACTGCAGTTAATCCACCCATCTTTCCATTATTACCTGCTTCAGTGATTTATAGTCTCTTTTAATGTTGTTGCACCAGTCGGGACACTTTCAGACTTGGCGTACCATCAAAGGTTACAATTGAATTACTCTTACGTGTGAAAAGAAAAAAATATTCCTTACTTTGCTTTAGTAGCATCTTTCGTTGTGGACCCAAAGAATTAGCCCGCCTGTAGCTTAACTGTCGATATGTCGTGAAATAGTAAAAGTGGTGTGATATCCTTCCCGACAGACTCTGAGCTGGCGCTGATGTACAACGACGCATCCGTGCTGGAGAACCACCATCTGGCCGTTGGATTCAAGCTCCTGCAGGAGGAGAACTGCGACATCTTCCAGAACCTTACCAAAAAACAACGACAATCACTGCGCAAGATGGTCATCGACATTGTGAGTACAAGAAGACCTGTGGGGAAAAAAAAAATCTGTCTATCTATCTATCTATCTATCTATCTATCTATCTATCTATCTATCTATCTATCTATCTATCTATCTATCTATCTATCTATCTATCTATCTATCTATCTATCTATCCATCAATCTATGTTGCTGTCTAGCTTGCTAGCTAGCTATATCGCTGTCTAGTTAGCTAGCCATCTAGCTAGCTCTCTCTATCTATCTGGCCTTCTATCTTGCTCGTTAGCTTGGACACTGAAGTTGTTAGCATTAGCAGCTATCTGTCTCTCTGTCTGTTCTTTTGTCCATCCATTTTCTACTTCAATAATTTAAATTAGTGGACCAGGTAGGGCCCCTCTCAACTTGCATTAGCGCTAAAAATTGTGTGAGGTGCTTATGCAACCCCCCCCCCCAACGTAAATAAAAAATCATATTCCTGACTGTTACTTTAAGTTTTACTGTATACAGTAGTATTGGACCAGGGCACCTCTGAAGTTATGTTAGCCCTAGCACTGATCCATTCATCATTATCTACTTAGTGGGCCCGGCAGGATATCTTGCATGTTATGTTCGAGCTTGGTTTGAGGCCACTTTACAGTTGTGTGTAGTGTGTTTCTCTGTGTTTATTTGTGCATATTCTTCCGATGAGTCATCCTGTGCTATTTTGCATCTTAGGTGTTGGCTACTGACATGTCCAAGCACATGAATCTACTGGCTGACCTGAAAACCATGGTGGAAACCAAAAAGGTGACCAGCTCGGGAGTCTTGCTTCTCGACAACTACTCGGATCGGATACAGGTCCGCTCTCAAATCACTCATTCTAAACACGGTTTGATCAAAAGATCCGTGGAAAACTACAATGTATCGTTTTTTTTTTTTTGTTTGTTGTTTTTAATTGTGGACTTGTTTTCTGTAGGTCCTGCAGAACATGGTGCATTGCGCCGACCTGAGCAACCCCACGAAGCCCCTGCAACTGTACAGGCAGTGGACCGACCGCATCATGGAGGAGTTCTTCAGCCAGGGCGATCGCGAAAGGGAGCGAGGCATGGAAATCAGCCCTATGTGCGACAAACACAACGCCTCCGTCGAAAAGAGCCAGGTGAGACTCTCCATTTCACTGTGGCACTCAGTACAGACTGACGAAGGTATGTTGCGGCCGTCTCTTGGTCTTTGCTTGTGTGAAGCTTCATTGAGTTGCCTTGTGTATGAAATGTGCTACAGGATAGAAATAAAACTGCCTTGCCTTGCGTCACTGTGTTTTGATGTTGGTCGTTACTGAAAAGAGCCAGGTGAGACTCTCCATTTCACTGTAGCACTCAGTACAGACTGACGAAGGTATGTTGGGGCCGTCTCTTGGTCTTTGCTTGTGTGAAGCTCATTGAGTTGCCTTGTGTATGAAATGTGCTACAGGATAGAAATAAAACTGCCTTACCTTGCGTCACTGTGTTTTGATGTTGGTCGTTACAGTGGTACTTACAGAAAATTAGGTACTTTTTCGGCGGTACTTGGTTTAGAAGTACTGCTTTAGTGGTTTATGATTAGTTGGAGCAGCCGGGTCAGGTATCATGTTGCGTTAATGCCCCCCGTTCCCTCCTCCCCCAATGCGCAGGTGGGTTTCATCGACTACATTGTGCACCCTCTGTGGGAGACGTGGGCCGACCTGGTACATCCGGACGCTCAGGACATTTTGGACATGCTGGAGGACAACCGGGAGTGGTACCAAAGCACCATCCCCCAAAGCCCCTCGCCCGCCCTGGGTGAGCCCGAGGATGGCGGGAGGCACCCGGGCGGGGACAAATTCCAGTTCGAGCTGACGTTGGAGGAGGACGGCGAGTCGGACACGGAAAAAGATAGCGGCAGCCAGCCGGAGGAGGAGGATGAAGAAGAAGAAGAGGAGGAAGAGGACGAGGAGGAGGAAAACAGCTGCACGGACTCCAAAACACTCTGCACGCAGGACTCGGAATGCACTGAGATTCCCTTGGACGAGCAGGTGGCGGAGGAAGAGGAGGTAGTGGAGGAGGGGGACACGTCCTGCTCGCAAACGTGTGTGGTGGAGGAGGAGGAAGAAGAGACGGTCGTGGAGGGGAAGGAAGATGAGGAGGAGGAGGAGGAAGTGAAAACTCCTGACACATAACAGCTTTGGGAGTGACGAACTGCTCTTCTTAGTAATGATTATTTATAGAATTTTTATTTTTTTTGGGGGGGGGGTGTTATGTTTTTATCTGACTTGTATGTTCCCCTTCTGCCGTGTTCTGACACTTCTTTTAAAGGAGCCGTCAACTCAAAAAATGTCTTTATTGTCATATGTTCTCTGCAGCCCCACGAGTCTAAACATGGCATTGTGATTAATATTGCGCTTTTTGGAGTATGACTTGAGCAGAAAATCCGCCTGTATTTATCTTGGGGGGGGGGGGGCATTTTGCCTTGTACTGCCATTTGCTGTTGACTGAAAATGACATCACAGTGCCGAAGGGCTTCGCTTACGACTGTCATGGCTCAGCTAATTTCTCAGTCACGTGACAGTCGGCAAGTTGAGCTTCTTCGGATCTGTGATGTCATTTTCAGTCGACAGCAAGTGGCAGTCCAAGGCAAAATGGCCGCCCCATGAGATGGGCAATAACAGGTGGATTTTTCTGCTTAATTCATGTTGCACAGATGCAATATTAATCAGTGATAATGTTTAGACGAGTTAGGGTGTATAAAACGTATGATGGTGAAGACATTTTTTTGGACTTGATTTTCCGTTCAAGCCTGCTCTAGACTGTAGCACACAAGTGAAAGATGACGATGCAAAATTTCACGCATACTCTCACGAGGCCATTCGAAACGTGTTCGACTCCACTTGACTCCGAAAGTCCAAAATGTTTCGGAGGGGAGCCCTGGCTCGGCACGATTGGGGCATGAACATGCAATGCCGGCGTGTCATACGATTAGACTGCACAATACAAAAAAATAAAATAAGTCAATCAAGAACAAGTACATATCAACAGAACAACTAGTAGAAATCAACAACAACAAATGTCACACGCTTGCACAAATGCAATGCAGAGTCATGTAATTAACGTGAACGCTTCCGTCACCAGTTAATTCTAACCGCCACTTTGCACCGCACAAATCAATGGAACAATTAGAAATAATACAGTGAGCTAAAAAAAAACTTAGTCAATAGAATCAAACAAAAGGGGTGCAAATCATCCACCAAGTTGCTCCTCATACCAGTTCACCGCCACTTTGCCCATTAGAAATGAAAAAGGATGACGAGAAATAATCCACAGAATCAAGAGGGAGAAACAAATTGGGGCAAGTGCGGCCACGGTTTCAAATGGCCTTTCGACTGCAAAAAGCCCTACAGTACGGATCAGGCTTCAGCCGCCACCCAGCACACGTGAGCGCTGCTCAAACATGCCAAGTGCACGTCTCGTTTCAACATGTCAACTCAATGGTACTCGGTCACTTTTTTTCTTTTTTTTTTTTTTGCACTCAGGAAAACTTTGTATTCCTGTTCACGCTGAGGTGCCGTATGTCCATCCTCTGTTCTTCTTCTTCTATGTCTGCGTGTGTGTGGTTGTGTGTGTGTGTGTGTGTGATGGCCTTCGGAAACATATTACGGATGTGGAAGTCTTCCTTGGAAAGCAGAGGGATGCTGTCTGTGTCTTGTTGACTTCTGATCTTTTCTACACTTTTGTTTTACTGAGTGAGAGCATATGATGTCTATTTTTTTTTCCTCTCTCTCTGTGTGTGTGTGAGACTCTCGTGAGGCGTTTGCACTTGCTCCGATAGCATTTATACTCCTTAATATACTCCCACTCAGCTAACTTGCTCGGACTTTTATGATTAGCTTTTCTTTCGATGGCGGAGGAAGTGAACTGAAAAAAACAAACAAACAAAAAAAAATAAGTTGAAGTGGGGTGAAGCCTTTAAATCTTCTTGTTGCCTACCGTTCTTTTTGAACACATCCTGAAACAATGCAATGCTTTGTAGTCCATAAAATGAAAAATAAGCACTTTTTTTTTTTTCTTGCTTTAGGTAAAGAATTAGAGCTCTACGCAACTAGTAACCATGTGAAGCGATTAACGGGCTGATTTTTTTTTTGTCACTCCTTGTTTGTTTTGCTTTTGTTTTTCCATCACATTCAAGCCAGTCACACATTTTAGTTTTATTTATTTTTTTATTCGATTTGATTTCTTTTTTTTAATTACTTTGTGTATTTTTTTATTGTATCAGATTTTTTTTGTTTCATTCAATATTGTTTTGATTTTACTTCAGTTGATGATTTATTTAAAATTTGCATTTTTTATTTCTCCTCATTTCACCTCATTTTTTTTAATTTTACTCTCACATGCCAACATGTCTCCCACACTCACGACACTTGCACATTTTTCAACCAAACCAATTCCCCTGTTTCCACACATTTATTTTTCCAAATTTAATTTTTCTCCTCCCTTTATTTGAATCATACAAAGTTGCTACAGTAAATAATGGTAGTTTACCGTAGCATAAAAAAAGGTGGCCAGTTCTAAAATCCGATTATTATTCATTTTTGTCCCCCCTCTTCATCTGTGCACATAAATTACCAACAGCAGTTACCAAAAAAAGGAGAGAAAAAAAACCACACTTGAAGACTGCAAACAGATTTTTTTTTCATTGTATTTATCTTATTTCATTTGAGCTCTCATCTTTTTTTTTCTGTGCCAAATCTCTTTTTTCCCCCCGCCCTTCCATTTTTCTTCTCATACTCACCCGATGCCCTTACCTGTAATTCAATCTTTTTCGGTTTAATCGCTGTTTACAAACATGATATTTATTGTTGTGTATGTACTATATAATTATTATTATTATTATTATTAATGTTATTACTATCATAACACCGTTTGTTGTAAATGGTTGACTCTTAATCATCCCTTTTGGTGATGGTGTGGCTGTAATCGCGTACCTCTTGTTGAGAGAATGTGTCAGAGAGTTGTTTTGTTTTTTTCTTTCAATGGTTGCTTGGGAAGTGGGAGTTAGCCAAGGGGGGCTTAAGCCAAATTATTTTCTAAAAAAAACCAACTTGTTCCTTGGCCCATGGGCTGTGCCTTAAATTCAACACTGTCACCCTTTTTTTGTTTTGTTTTGTTTTCTTCTACTGCTGCTGCATTCGAAATATACGGTGGCTTACAGGGAGAAAGTCGCAAAAGTCAAATGTTCATGTTGTGTTGGAGTTGGAGCAACGGCATATATCAGGAAAAAAAAACGTCACAATGTATTACAATAGTTATTAAAATAATGTCATCAGATAGCTGTTTTTTTATTTATTTTTTTCAAATTCTTCGTGAAAGCAGATGACTGAAATTTGGAAACAGACCAGCCAAATATTTTAAAGGATTGTTTTTTTTTAAAGTGTTTACAATACTATTTTTCAAAACATTATTGATATTTATTCAAACCAAATAATGGCAATCGATTCTTTCCCCGACAGTTTTTATGGAGGCAAAATGGTGTTGCATCGCAACAAAATGTAAAAACAAAATCAACATTGCGAAACATTTTTCAGTCATTAAATTGGCAGAGAAACAGTTACAATAGTCACAGCATTTGTTCAAACAAAAGAACAGTCATCAGCTTTTGTAAAATCTTGGCGAGAAGTGGAGCAGCCAGATATTTTTTTAAAAATTGACAGAGTAAAAAAAAAAAAAGTCAAATATTTTTAACATATTTAGCAATACTTTGGGCAAAAATATAACTTTTTTTTAACAAAATGTACTGTAAACTTTGTTTTCACAACATGTACATTTGTTTTGCTTTTTTGTTTCTGGTACTTCTGGGTCACCGTAGCGACGGCCTCACCTCTTGAAATATTGCCTTTTTTTCCAAGTTCGAAGCCAAACTTTTCCCCATGGAAAGCACACAGGCTTAGCGACGCACACACACACACACACACACACACACACACACACACACACGTGCACATTCAGCCGCTGCTGCATTAAATTTGGCTGAAACACTGACAACGTGTGTGTGCGTGTTTCGCTAATGCACACCCATCCTTCCTTCGGTCCTTCCTTCCGTCCTTCCTACTTTCTTTCCTTCCCTGCATCCCTGGCAATAGAACCAGACTCTCCAGCTAAGAGACGCTTCTTTTGACACATATACTGTAGATGCTAAACAGCCCTGGCCCAATGGAAACAGTCTGTTCTTTTTGTGTGTGTGTTCTGTGTGTGTGTGTTTCAATTTTTTTAACGATATTAAAGGAAAAACACAAACTGTAACTTAAAAAAAAAAGAAAAGAAGAAAATAAAAAGGTGTTCAGGACTATTTTTTTTTGGGGGGGGGGGTCATGTCTTTAGTATGCCAACTTGTCTGGACGTTTCACGGGACAATTCCAAATGTTATTTTAATGGGATCCTTGTTGATTGCAGTCTATTGGATAGAACTGTAGAGCATACGACTTTATGTATAAAAAGTGAAAAAGAATGAAAAAAAAATGTTTTATATGCAATGGATTAATTAAAAGCATGGGTTGATTCTGCCTAATCTGGGTATTCCATTATTTTCTTCAATAAAAACAAATTACGAATTCATTAAAAAAAAAAAAAAAAAAAACCTGCAAACGAGAAGCACTGTACAGAAAGTGCTATGCGCAGGCTCAACACTAAGTGGTGCTGGAGATTTGGCACTACACAGAAAGTGCTATGCGCAAGCTCAACACTAAGTGGTGCTGGAGATTTGGCACTACTGCAATACTGGTGGCCCAGTCAGAATGTGGACGCCACACGGCAAATGAACACTCAGGAGCCAAGCAAAACATTGAATTCCTTTTATTTCCTACGATGTCAAACACAACCTTCTCTCACACCTTGTCATTTGAGATCCACACAGATAACGCCTTAATTCATGTCATAAAATGCTCACAACATCACACACGCACACGCACGCACACACACACCCACCCACACACAGATATATGCACACACAGCAGTCATAGTGATGGAGACACTATTTACAGGCTTTTAAAGTCATAAAATATTGCACGTATTGGCCCATATGCACATCACGGCGAGCGCCGCAAGCATGCTTTTTTAAAAATCTGTTGACATACCATTTTATATATATATATATATATATATATATCTCCCTAACGCCATTTGTAAAACGAGAAACACAACACATAAAAATGCAAATGAGAATGCATGCGCAGAGTAGCTCGAAATCTTTTTTTATTTATACTGGGATATAAATCTACTTGCAAGGTCATGCATTTTCCTGCAATTTTGTTGCATATACACAACAAAGTTAAAAGGGGTGTTTGTTTTTTTTTCTTTTGGCACACATATTTCATTGACTGCAAGTGTTCTAACAGAACTCAAAAGGCCTTGAGATTGGATACAGCTCACTTTTGCAGTGCCTTCAGCGCCCGCTAGCGGGAGCTCTTGCTCCATTAGAATGCTGATTCCCAAAGGAAACAGTAGCTGTGTCCAAATTCACAGGCTGGGTCCTCCGAAGGCCGCATTTTTTGGTCGCAGACCTCACGTCCGCACGCGGTGTCTAATTAAGTCACATTAGGCCTGTCCAAATTCGCCACGGCTCATGCGGTCCACGGAGGCTACATGAGGAGGAACCTGTGTCGAAGGACCCAGCCTGCAAATTGTCTTTCAATAATTTGGAAACAACGCGAGGTCGAGTTGCGCAAGTAGTGACGTCATCTGGCCGAAAATTTTCGGAGAACGCAGCCAGTGAATTTGAACACAGCCTATGGCTGTCAATTCCCCCAAGCCCACCCCATCCCCAATCGTGTGTCGTACCCTTCCTCTACAGTTTCACTGTTACGACATCTAAAAAGTCTTGCAAATCTTGTCTTTTTAAGGTGAAAACGTACTGATTTTTTTTTTTTTTTTTTGGGGCAGCATGCTCAAAAGGGGCTTTGATGGAGTACATGTGGAGAAAACAAAAAAACGCAAGTAGGAGTCAGGCTGTGTTGGGTGCGAAAAGGCCACTTTTTTAATGTCTGAAAACTCCCAAAAAGTTCATTCACAAACACACACAAACTCCTTAAGAGCGCCCTATTTGGCAGCCTAAGATTTAAAGGGGACATATGATGGAGATTTCACTTTTTTATGGGCTTGTATCCAAATAGTTGGGTGCGGGCCCAGTCATCGAGTATGAAATTAAAAACTGTCTGGGAGCCAAAACAATCTGACTTTTGCCATGTTGTGATGTCACAATTTGGCTAATTTATATAGTTACCGCCCCACACTTACTCCACCCATAACTGGCAGCTAGGTGTCTAAAGCCACCTTTGTCAAGAGATTGTACAGAACACCAATTATGTCAAAGCCAAAAGGTAAGCAGAGCTGGAGCGTTAGCATGGATGAGCATTAGCTAACATTTTCACTGGGTATTAGCCTCTGATATAAACCATGCAGACTCAAAATGTTTGTTGACCACTACACTGATTGACAAAGTGAAATTCAGCGCCTTGGTGGTGAAGTGTGTCCTCCACGTGTAAAAATGCAAATGAAGCTTCTGGAGAGTGGACCGATTTCAACCAGGGGGAATATTAAGCATGCTGTATTTCTTTGTCCTTTGGCGGGAGAACCTCAGAGATCCGTTTTTTTTTAAGACACGCGGAAACTGTTTAAGATTGTGAAAGTGTTTGCATAATATGTCTCCTTTAAATAGAAGTTACATGACGTTATCACTTAGATTTTAGGTTTAGTTTGGATGCTCTACGATGAAGTGGATGACAAACATGGAGTTTATTGACAGTGTCTCTAAGAGCACATCCTGTAACTTTGTATTTGCTTGCGTTAGAAGGTGATGAAGTTTAGGCGCTAGTACGACAGCATTTTAGTATCTCTACCACTAAAGGGTCCAGACATCGAGAGGAGTGGGTAGAAAGGTTTGTGGGGGACAAAAACACGGTACAGTAAGTGGAGCTAACAGTTGCAGCCGGGCTGCTGGAGGGGCGGAGCACTGTCTGTCAGTTTGGCGGTGGGCGCTCCAGCAGTAACAGCCGGGTCGCCGTCCAAGCTGTCGGACATTTTGTCACAAATGAGGTCGACGAGGCGCTCAAAGGTCTGCTTGACGTTGATGTTGTCCTTGGCGCTGGTCTCGAAGAACTCAAAGCCTTTGTCGAGCGTTTAACGAGAAATTTGTACATTAAGCATGAACATTTTCTGACACATTTTGTGCCATCTATGCTTTTACCCCAAAATGCAGGTAGATTTGAATTGATATCTGTATAGTTTTAACATTTGCATTTGCTAAAAAGACACTCTCTGCCGTCGCTGCTATAACCAATGATTATAAATCAGCATGTAGTATCATCCTCACACTGTTTCAGTGCTTTATTGTAACATTAGCATTCAGCATTTGCTTATATCTTTTGATTTATGACCATTTATGTTTGCATTTTCTCACTCACACTGTCAGCTATATGTGCTGAAAGCACCAAATCAAGTGAAGTTTACTTTATATTGTGCTTCTACTGTATTGCGTTAGCGTTACATTAACATTTAGCGGTAGCATCTCTTGATAAATAAATACGGTTTATATCGTCTCCACACTGCTTTAGTGTTTGAGCTCACCATTATCATTCACCATTAGCATGTTCTTACACACATATGGTATTTAAGAACATCCGGGAAATACAGATCAAACGTGGTTAACTCCTTCCACTGTTTTAGTGCTCCAGCGTTGCATTGGTGTTTAGCATTAGCAATTGCCGACAAACACTTTCTCCAAGTCCTGCTGTTAGAAAAAGATACAAATACAGTTTCTATGGGCATTTTAGTACTTTAGCATTACATAAATTAACATGAGTAGTTCCTTACCAAATACTTTCCGTGGTATCTGCTATAGTTTAAAACGTCTTTTCACTGTTTTGGGTGTTTTTAGCTTTACGTTAGCGTTTAGAATTAGCATTTCCTCTCATTCAAACCGTCTGTGATATCTCCTCTAACCAATACAGAGAGATGAATTTAGGACATTCCTGAGAGTGTTTCAGATCCTACAATAGCATTTAGCTTTAGCGTTCCCATAAACAGAATTTCTGTGACATTCCTGCATATTCTCTCAATTCTATACAGCATTACATGAGGATTTAGAGGTAGCATTTCCCGCCGCACATTTGTCTGCAATATTTGCAGTAAATACAGATGAATATAGTTGATAGTATATATAGCACACGCCTCATTTGTAGTTGAGTTCAAGGTGCAACACGCAAATAAGGTTTTTCCTCACACTTACCCAGCTGTTCCGCCAACAGCCTGCCGCTATCCACGGACACCACTCGTTCCTCTTCCATATCACACTTATTACCAGCCAGCACCACTTGCGCATTATCCCACGAGTATGTTTTTATCTGGGTCGACCTGTGCACAACAACACAAGAACACGCTTGGGTCAAACAACAAAGACAAGTTGTTTTAGGGTCATCGGATCGCACAGACTCTTTTCAGCACGAACAGAGAGATGGGCAGGATGTAAAGTTGGTCCGCCATTTGGACAGGTCGAAGGTCGGGATTGCATCATCGTTTGTTGTGTGAATCACTGCTGGTCGGGAAGGGAAAGTGGGTCAAGTTCTGTTCTGGGCTGAACAGCCGCATGCATTTGTAGGTTAATTTTTTTTTTTTCTTGTTATCACAACTGCTGCTAATCTTCATCAAATTTTCTCCGTGCAGATTTGCTACAAGCTGAGAGGAAAAGAGTGAAGAAGGATGCTTGTCAGGTTACACACATATTTATAGTAGGGGTGAATTTGAGCTTTTTGCCCTCCTTCTGATCAAAGTCAGCAAAGGTTTGATTATCTGTATTGTTCTCTAAGATCAACCTGATTATCCCATGGTGCAGTGTGTGTTAAGATATTTTTTTTCCCCTTCTCAATCAGCTCGCAAAATAGTTGGGCCAACAATTGTAAATGTTAAACCTCTTCAATATTTATGATAGCCGATCTACATATCCATGATTATGATGCGACTGAGTGTGTGTGTAATGCATTTCCCACGTCATCCGTCGCAATAAAAATGACAAGAATAATTTGCTAGATGCTCCATAAGCGATTTTCATGATTTATTGGTCAATATACTTTTGTGAATGAGGTGTGTGTATGCTGATTTTTTGCTTTGCCTTATGTGGGGTCGCTCACGTTATCAATCGGATAAATGTTAAAAATCGATATGCCCCCATGTTATGTTTGAAGTTAAATATTTTTATTTTCCTTTTTTATTTATTTATTGTGAACTGTCTCTCAACTCAACCCAACTCAAATGTATTTATAGAGCACTTTCACATGGCCATCGTAAAGGAATGTTAACCACTGTCCAACAAAACTAAAATAAAGCATCCCTTGATGACGCCATTGGGACACATATTGAAGAGAAAACAGGGAACTGTCACAGAGCGGTGTTCTGTCAATCAATGTAGTTCAATAACTGTATTGACATCAGCATCTACTTTTTGCGTGCGTCATTGATATTCAATTACTTATATTTCTTGGTTCCTTTGACTTGACTAGCCATTTTCTCTCCTAAAAACTTGGGCTGTCGCAGAACACCGAATTGTGCCAATTTCGGGCATTCGACATCAACGCTTCCACTGTACTTGACCATTAAAAAGCCCCGCAGTCAAACAATGCATCGGTGTGTGTGCACGACAGTCCCTGCGACTCAGTGAAGCGCAATGAGAGAAAGAGCTTAAGGAGCAAACATCTCCCGCGGTGCTGCAGCCCGACTAAAAAGTAGGCCGGCGGAACAGCGCAGCCGCCGAAAAAACAAGAGGGCAAGAAAGCGAAAGAGGCGGCGACACGTCGAGCTGTGTAAGATGTGACTCACTTAAAGCATCTGTGTGTTTCAAATAGAGCGGCGGCACCGGAATAGAAATATGTGCAGATCGCAGACAGGATATGAAGACGTCACACGGTTTAATTCAGGAGCAGCTGAGGAAAGAGCGGTTGCCATGGCGATGCCTTTTTTTTTTTTTTTGTTACTATATGTCACAGGGTGAAACGGAAGATGGGAGGAAGCGGAATGAAAGTGAGAGGCACAAAAAGTCGATAGAGTGTGGACTGTATTACTGGAGTGGATGTGATACATAATTATCACAATAGAACACAGCAGTTCAGTACAGTTTGAGTGTTTTATGTTTTGGGGCCCATGTTTGGTTGAAAGCGGACTCTTTTGCATCATTCAGGACAGCTGGGAAGGAGGAGATGGCGCACGTGGAGCTTAGGAATGTTCTGTGAACTAACAACAACAAAAAAATGGCAAATGATTGTGAGCGTTTTTGTAAGTTTGTGACTGTTTTAGGTCAGGTCTTCAACGCTTTGCAGGTTGTGGGCTTCAAATGTGCTGATGATGACAGTTAGGTCACGTGCCGCTGATTCTGCATGTTTTGCGTCACGTGTCGCCGTTGAAGTGATGAGCAAGGCATCGACGTCGGCCTTAATGGCCAACGTCAATCCAACAGAGTGCGTTCGCTTCGATTGACGTGATCCGCAAAATTTTCTCGGCCGGTTCTACTGACGTTAGCACGGATTGTAAAAACCTGAATATGCAGCTTATACTGAATGAGATGCGGAATATCGTCAAGAGCATGTGTGCATGTGGTGCTCGTATAATTGTTCATCGGCAATCGTGCTTATATATTACAGAACATACAATAACTCTCGGGGGAGTAGAACGTCTTGAGCTTCAGCCGATTCTAGTATGAGCAACAACAACAATTGGCAACCCATCCAAGGTGCATCCCGCCTTTCACCCAAAGTCAGTTGAGATCATCGCAAGCTCACTATTGAACATCGAATACGGTCTCGTGAACTTGCGAGTTTCTTTGTAAATTGGAATGACTGTGTGCTTTTTAACTTCCCTTCCTGACTCTGACGTATTTCTGCAATAGCAGCGCAAAATGCATTTTTGGGTCCTAGCCTTCGCAATTATCCAACTGTTGCAACCTTGATTTAAGCTAGCTGACAAAGACAACAGCTGAGTAGTCCATTCTTGATTCATTTCAATTGGAACAGTACTTGGGGCCATGACTGATGACGTTTCACACGATCGTAAGAACGCACAAGAACGCACGCTGAGAAACCGTCTGTGGCATATATTTCTGCATAGTCACAACTGACTTGCTTTTCTAAACGCAAATTTGCCTCCAACGTGACAGCCCCAAAACAAAAGACTCTATAACAGTGACTTACCAATCCTGCACGGCACCAAAGGATTCCTCATTAGTGATGTCATACATGAGGATGAAGCCCATGGCGCCGCGGTAGTAGGCCGTGGTGATGGTCCTGTAACGCTCCTGGCCTGCTGTGTCCTACAAACACACGCACACGCACACACACACACACACACACACACACACACACACACACACACACACACACACACACACACACACACACACACACACACACACACGTGCGTCGTTCACTGTCATGTGTATACATAACGGTCCATGACAATCTGATTACAGGAGAGCAAAAACCATACAGGCCGCAATGCACGCATTTAATCACATCCTCTGAATTGAGTTCACAACGCAGACATCATTCGGCTGAGTGCCTCGCAATAAATCTGCGCTGACGTAGAGCAGTGACTCAACTTCAGTGTCTCCTCGAAAATCTCAGCCGCGTGAGCTGCGTGAAGAGAACTTTAAAGAGTTTCAGCCGTATGATGAGGACGTGGTTCAGTCCATTCACCGGCCGTGACTTTGTCTGCGCAATCTGAGATCATAAATCATCATGATGATTGAGCTGAGTATGTATTTCCTAGCCGCCTTCCAATCAAAGTCAACAACGGCTTGATTGTTGGAGGTCTGCGATGATTACCCCAAACTGATTGGGAAAAAAAAGACTGGCCAACACCTATAAATGTTTAAACCCGTTAGATAGTTTATGATGGCACATGATATTGTGGTTGCATCAGGAAAAAAAATGGAATATTGTGGACACTTATTTGAAGTGTTTATGGGGTGGCCCGGTGGTCCAGTGGTTAGTGCGCCGACCTCACAGTGCAAAGGTCGTGGGTTCAATCCCAGCTTTTCCGTGTGGAGTTTGGATGTTCTCCCCGGGCCCGCGTGGGTTTTCTCCGGGTACTCTGGTTTCCTCCCACATTCCAAAAACATACATGGCAGGCTGATTGAACACTCTAAAATTGTCCCTCGGTGTGAGTGTGAGTGTGGATGGTTGTTCGTCTCTGTGTGCCCTGCGATTGGCTGGCAACCAGTTCAGGGTGTCCCCCGCCTACTGCCCAAAGACAGATGGGATAGGCTCCAGCACACCCAATGTGAGGATAAAGCAGATTGGAAAATGGATGGATGGATATTTCAGTCGTTCACTTAAAATATAAAAAAAAAAATCACAATTATTGAGATGCACCCGCATAAACAAAAAATCTGCTGGTACCTAGTGGAAATCCTGCTCAGTGGAAAATCAGAACAGCGTGCAACATCACCGTGGAAACCACTGCCCGCCACCGCACCTTTTGCTCCGAAATCTCTCAATGAAAATGCTAATGGTGACGCTTTGATGTGTATGATTGTATGAGAGGATTTGTGGGCTAGTGCTATTTGTTTACTCCTCATTCTGTTTGCCGCGAGTTACATAACGGCAAACCGGGGCCTGCCGTTTGCACTGGGGCAGTTTGATCCGCCCACAGCAAAGTGTGTTTTGCGGGGAGCGTCTGTCCGTGAATCATGATGGAGGACTTTATTTGGCTGCTCCACTTGGCGCCGCTTTACCCCACTTTGCCATCCGTCGGCGTGCGCATGGCTTCGACCACAGTGTGCTCGCTGTAGCTGGAGGCCCACTATGACTTTCACGCTGCAGAGATTGAGCACACAGAGCAGTGACCTTTTAGCCACATGCCATGATACAAAAAAAAAAAATCGACTAAAGACGTTTAAAACGTGCCACTCACAGTTTTTTTCTGAGATTCATTAGAGAAAAGCTGACTGCGCTACTCCCAGTGATTTTTTTCTCCTTTAAAGGCAGGAGAATGACAAGGAATAAAAAAAACAAAACGAAAAAAACAAAAAGAAACATAACGACTATTGAGTCATGCAAACGAAAAGCTGGATTGGACACTCACAGGAAATCAGTACAAACAGCGGACACCATCAAGCGGACGGTTAGACGGAGGCGTTTATTTTTAAGTGTGATGTCGTAAATTAAGTGGTATTAAATGTTATGGTTTCATAGTTAGAGTATGGTATACTTACAGTTTAAATTATTAATATACAAAGTAGGTACAATTATTACAGCGGTGGGGCCATTATTTCAGAAGCACGGTAGATTTAAAAAGTCGGAACTCCCTGTTCAAATGCCATGCTATGTGTGATACTAAAAATAAAAAGTAACAGCATGATAAATCGCTTTTTTCCACCACTAATGTGGCTTATAACATGAACATTTGAAAAAAAAATCTTAGTTTGTTGAGAGGGGAATGAAAAATGCAATAACTGCGATAATGTGGTGGCACAATCATGCACACTCTTTTGTAACTGGGGATTGTTGCGAAGAAACCACTCATAACTCCGACTAAATGGGAATCAGCACACAACTGTCGTCATTTAAAATTCATGATTTCATCCCAAATTGATGTAAACAAATCAAGTAGGCTTTTTCCTGACCTTAATATTATTATTATTATTATTTTGCTTACTGTCAGAAGATTTTACTATAAGACCGAATGGTATTTGGGGAGGCTCATAATCGACTCCATCTTGACTGGGGCCCCGGTTCCAATTAAAGAGACACAACCCCAAAGCATGACACTGCCACCAACATGCTTCATTGTCGGCATGGTGCTTCAACAATGCCGCTGGGCATTTTTAAATATTTGTGGGAGGAGCAACACGACTCTATCCACTATACTTGTATTATTTTTGTGCAAAATCACAATAGACCAGGAAGATCCACCGAGTCACTGTCATCTAGCAACCATTACGTTAACAGGAGTCTTACTGTAAGTGTCGACCGCGTCCAATTAGAAGACGACCAGGCAGTTACTTGAAAGCAATGCGGACACTTAATTTAGCGATGAAAATGCACACATCTGACTTCACTAGACGGTCACGACGCTGTTGAAAGCCACTTTGGAGAGTTGAATGTCAACGGCTGGCTAATTGCGGCTAAATAGTCCAACTATGGCAAGAGATCGCTCTCGACAGGAACGTTAACCTTTGGTGTGAAATTCAAAAGAGGGAAGGGAAAATAGGCGAGGAAAAAAAAAACTGACACAATGTGCTTCTGTAACTCCTAATTTAAAAAGCTGCAGATCAGCTTCACTTCCACACACACACACACAGGAAGGTGTCAGAATGTGTTCTTCCCCTCCCGCTGCGCGCCAAGCTAACACTTACTGGTCTCCTCTCAGAAACGTTCAGTCATCCATCTGCCTCCCCACTTCCAATGAATGTCAAAGCACAAAGACAAAACACAACATGTCCAGAGATGATCTGCCACGCCCTGCCGGAACTTTTACAGGATTTGATCCTGTATAGCGTCATTGGGAAAAGACATGATTGCAACTGACAACAGAGCATTTGAAAAACGAAGAAGAATATCCGTGCATACAAAACAATCCTGATACCCTAAAGTTGGGTGCATACGTAAAGATCATGTGCGTTCTTCATGTTCTTACAATTAAATCTTTTTAACGATGATCAAGAATTTCAACGCGTCATACCATTTCATTCGCAGCATTTTTCAGAGGAGTAGCCGTAGTACCAGTAGAAGAAGAAGCTACGCTATCAGTTAGCTCAACATTGCGGTTCCACAATCTTTGACATTTTTACTATGGTGAAGATCATGTGCGTTCTTCACGTTCTTACGATTAAATCTCTGTCACGATTATCAAGAATTTCAACACATCACACCATCTCATTCACAGTATTTTTCAGAGTAGTAGCCGTTGTACCGGTAGAAGAAGAAGCTAAGCTATCTGTTAGCTCAACATTACGGTTCCACAATCTATGACATTTTTATTCTGGTGAAGATCAGGTGCGTTCTTCATGTTCTTGCAATTAAACCTTTCTAATGATAATCAAGAATTTCAACACACCACACCATTTCATTTGAGTCGTAGCCGTAGCACTGGTAGAAGAAGAAGCTAGGCTATCTGTTAGCCCAACTCGTAAGGACATTGCGGCTCCTCAACCTTTGACATTTTTATTATGGTGAGTGACTTAGTGATCTGAAATAGTGAACAGGGTTAACATTTATGATTGTTGACCCTGATCGCTAACCCGATCAGGAGAGCGGGAAAAGATTATAACTGAACACACACCACAGCACAGGACAGTCTTTCAGAGACATCCAATAATCAAGCTTTGAATGACCTTGACCTGGTGAGGGAGGGTGGGTAGATGATCAAGATCAAATTAGGCCCGATTATTGGTTGTTGCTGGCCATTATACGCTTCCGTCTTCTTCAACCAGTTCCTGATTCTAAACATATAGGTCAGACCTTTCCAAAAATAAATAAAAATAAAGCATTGATGGATTGATCACGATAAGAATAGAGGACAAACGATGAGTTGAGATAAGATCAGATAAGATCTTCCTTTTAAGCTAAGCTAATGATAAGACTTTCAGAAAGTCCCCCATTTTCACTTGATTAAAATCATTCGGTTCAATACCAGGCATGACACGGCACGACAGGGAGGAGCCAGTCAAAGCCGGAGCCATTCGTACCCATATTTGCAGCTTGATCCTTTTGTCGTTTTTGTACACCGTCTTCACTTTGAAGTCGATGCCCACGGTGCTGACGAAGGCGGAGGTGAAGGCGTCGTCGGCGTAGCGGAACAGAAAAGATGTCTTGCCCACGCTGCTGTTGCCGATGATCAGCAGCTTGAACATGTAATCGAAGTTTTGGTCAGCGCCCTCCGCTTTGCCCTTTGCATCCTGAGTGGCAGCCATCTGCAATGACAATCAATGGAAAAGCGGATCAGAAGGTAGCGAGGTAGTCAGGAACATCATGAAAAGGAAAGAAAGGGACGATATTTTTAGGCTTTAATCTTTTAGTCTTGCCCCATCTACCAGGGAGTGGCCAGCTGGCTAGCATACAGATGGACAAAAAAACAAAAAAACAAACACAAATCATTTTTTGTTAGCAGTTCAACCTTGGCCGGATGTCTGAGTTGTCATTTGAGTTTAGTGCAGTTTGTTGTTGTTATTGTGATTTATTTGAGTAAAACATGATGTCATTCTTTTTTTTTTCTTTTTTAACACGCCTTTTTTCCTCCTAACATCAACTTTTCTTCTTATTCATGTCTACTAATGTGACTTTTTCTTGTGACACTCCAAGCATTTCTTGTAACATTGTCTTTTCTCTTCAGCCATTACAAACTGAATCTTGTAACTTTTTTTTTTTTTGCATGAACACCGCGTTTTTTTTTTCTTGCTAAATTTGGACTTTTTCTCCAAACATCACATTATTCTCCAGAGGTGGGAGACAGTCAGAAATGTGCAAGTCTTAAGTCAATGCATGGGGGGTGCAAATGGATGAATGAGGGTCATAAACTTTGCGCACTTTGTAGGTTGTCCCTTTAGGACGTTCTGTGAAGTTTACGTGCATTAGTTTACAATGTTGCATGAGGCATTGGCTTCTTTCTGGGCGGAATTTGTCAGGCACTATGATCCAAAACCCAAATAATATCATCTGTTCAATCAGGTGGGGCCCTTATGGCAGAGTCACTCATTAAACTGCCGCTACAATTAACCGACGCGTTTCTACGTCAGCAACCAGCCACCTGAGAAGACACACACACACACACACACACACACACACACACACACACACACACACAGAGTCATCTTTGCTCCAAGGTGAACCATGCAGGCAAGAGGACCGCATTCACTGGTGCCAAACATGTGCAGCCTTGCTACCATTTTAAAAATACAATAATATATAGCATCCGTGGAGTATCTTTGCATCTTCTCTAAAAACACAAATACTCGCAAGGGCACACCATAGACGAGCTGTCATTTACATGCCTAGTGTGTCATAATGTATGAATGATAGTGCCAAAAAAATGACACGATGTGGTAGGAATGGAGGAGGGGGGGATAAAGAAAGGTGGTGGTGGTGTTGAGGAGGGGGGCGTACTCGCTAACGCTAGCGAGGTCATTTTATGACGAATTATGAGCCATTCACAGATGAAGCTAGTAGACATGCTATTTGACAAACCTGTCTCCAAGGCTCTTGGCTCGAGTTCAGTCTGTGTCAAAATTTTCCTCCTTCGTTTTATTCAATGTTTGGGTTTTTTTTTCGTCTTTTTCCTCTTCTTCTTCTTCCCCCCTGCGCGTCGCTGGTTGGCTGTGCTGAAGCAATTTCAGCACCAAGGAGCTGTTCCCACCACTCCCCCCCTCCCTTCTCGCTTTCCGCTACCCCGCTCTCTCCGGTCGCTGCGCGAGCCTGCTTCTGACGTCATCTACTAATTAATTTCAATGGGAGTTGTAGTTTTTTTGAGATTCTGACGCGGAAGTGCGTCCACAGCCGAAAGGGAGAGCGTTGACTACAGCTTCCAGCATGCACCACGATACGTGCGTACACAGCTGTGTGAGTTAAGATGGCGACGCGGTGAAAAGAAGTAATAAATAACCTTACGGTTTGCATGTCACAAGTACCAACTCCGGACTTCATGGTGTCTTTTTATTTCTTTCTTTTTTTTTTTTTTTTTTTAAATAATAGCGTGTGTTTTCCTTATCTTTCCGTACAAGTCAATTGTATCGTCTTGAACTCGTTTAGATAACAAAATATGTGCAAAAAAAAAAAATAAAGATGAGATTGCACGTGTGGTGGAGGGCGACTTTTTATGGATCTTTGAGGCCCTCTGTGATAGGACGACTGGCCGGACGCGTGTCGTAAAAGGTCACCTACGGTGAGTGCCGCCCATCTGTTTAATGGTGGCTCAGTCAGTGGGGAATACGCAGTAAAGACGCTCAAGCAGCAGGTAGTATTTGCTGCACTAACTAATCCGTATGTTTATCGTAGTTTTTTTGATTAAACCGCATATTTTCTGTTTAGTTTTATTTGTCATCTTGTGGCATCTTCCCCACGTTTGCAGAAAGTTTTGGTAGTTAATTGTGAAAAGCATCTTCACCACGTTTGCAGAAGGTTTTGGTAGTTAACCTTTGTACTGTTTAGTGAAAACTGACGTGCGGGGTGTTTTTGCGGAAGAATTCACGCTATTGTCATTATTTACCAGATAGTGCAGTAGACGCACTTTTCGAGAAGGTGCTGTGGGCCAAAACGGCCCAAAGTAGCGCCCTCTGCTTTTTGGCACAGGAATCGGTTTGTTGGCAATAACTAAAGGCCAAACTCCGGCCAAGATAACGGCAACAGTCGTGCAACTGAGCTAATTTAGACCTTACGCTAACGTACACCAGACGAAGCTAGTGGCTTCTATGACATAAAAACAATGCTCAAATATGCCGACCGGCATGTTTGCTAAAACCTGCATTGTACATACGGTATATTTCTCATTCAACTACTTGTATGTCTGTCTATCTATCCATGCATGTATAAAGTATATCTAATGTAATAATCTGATGAAGTCGGGTGTTGCCTTCAGACATCGTCTGAAATCTTCTATCTATCGCTTTATCGATCGATCGATTGATCTGTCATGTGTTTCCCTTGTGGTCAGTGTGAAATTTTAGTTTCGTGCTCTCTATCTTTACATCAGATAAAAAGACCCGCATTCAAATAGCATCTCAAACTGCTTAAAATAAAATTAAAACCAAACAAAAAAAAACCATTCCCTTTGGAGTTTCATAAACTAATATTATATTAGCTGACCCACAGTAGATGCTGCATATCCACTAAATATAGTACTTGAAAATGTAAGAGCTTAACGAATAGAAACGCTCTTTGTGTTCTTGTTTATGTTTCTTGATTAATTATACCGGCAATGTACTCATTAACATTTTAACATTCCTGTCAGTGTGAAGAGATGTTTACCACTCTAATAAGGTAAATCTCCAATAGCTGGTTTCACTGTAATCCCACAAACCTCTTGACGCTGGAGCCTTTTTTGCAGTCATTCCTAAAGTTGTATTTTGCCCCACCCGAACCAGCGCTTGCACGGAGAAATGCTTGCATTTGCAGTAGGCTTCTAAATCCATGAAGACTCACGGCAACAGTAGTGCAACTGAGCTAATTTAGACCTTATGTTAACGTACACCAGACGGAGCTAGTGGCTCCTATGACATAAAAACAATGCTCAAATAGGCTGACCGGCATGTTTGCTAAAACCTGTATTGTACATACGGTATATTTCTCATTCAACTACTTGTATGTCTGTCTATCTATCCATGCATGTATAAAGTATATCTAATGTAATAATCTGATAAAGTCGGGTGTTGCCTTGAGACATCGTCTGAAATCTTCTCTATCTATCGATTTATGATTCGATCGATTCGTCTGTCATGTGTTTCCTTTGGGGGTCAGTGTGAATTTGCCGTTTTGTGCCCTCTATCTTTACATCAGATAAGAAGACCCGCATTCAAATGCTAAAATTTTATTCATCAACCCGTTGGCACTATTTTTATGTTCAAACTGCAATAATAGAGTGGAATAACATCTCAAACTGCTTAAAATAAAATAATTTTAAAAAACCCAACAACATTCCCTTTGGAGTCGCATCAACTATTATTATATTAGCTGAACCACAGTAGATGCTGCATATCCACTAAATATAGTACCGGTACGTGAAAATGTAAGAGTTTAACGAATAGAAAAGCTCTTTGTCTTCTTGTTTGTATTTCTTGATTAACTATACCGACAATGTTTTAATTAACATTTTAATATTCCTGTCAGTGTGAAGAGATGTTCATCACTCTAATAAGGTAAATCTCCAATAGCTGGTGTCACTGTAATTCCACAAATCTCTTGACGCTGGAGCCTTTTTTGCAGTCATTCCTAAAGCTGTATTTTGATCCACCCGAACCAGCGCTTGCACGGAGAAATGTTTGCATTTGCAGTAGGCTTCTAAATCCATGAAGACTGATTTCCTAACAGTTTTACTCAGTGATGACTGTTGTGCTACTCTGAAGGGTCCAGATGGAGGGAGTTCTGGCTTGTTGGTGGATGGCCACCATGTGCCAACAAGCCTGCAGCTTCTGCGAGGATTTGCCTGAATAATGCTTTGAGCTCATTGGCCCTTCGACGACTTACTTCATTGTTGAATCACTCACCGGATAGTCTGGAGGTTGTTGGGGCCTACCATGTTGGTGACACCTGGTATAAGTAAGGCTACCCCATGTGTGTTTGAAATGCAGTAATGTGCACCCACCTGAGCTAAGAGATTCCACAAGATGGTGGCAAAGCATTATTTTTTTTATTGCTGTGGCAAGAGAAAAAACACAGCGAATAAGAGAGGGGTTTTTTTTCCCGGAAAATGGAGGATAGGGTTAAAAAAAAAATCTGAATTTGCCAATATGTGGCGTTTCTCGCATTGACTGTTTAGGCAAATGAACAAAAAACATGGCTAACCGTTTGGAATGTTGTGTTTTTCTTCAGCCGAATGGAAGACTCCATCGAAGTTATCCTGCAAGACTTTGAGAAAGTCCTCCCTTTGAGCAGTCCTCATCCGTTGTTGTCGGCCTGCACCGGCGCGCTGTTCGCAGGCCTCTATGGAGTGTGGAGCCTATTCACGATGCCCGGCTTCCGCAAAATCCCATCCAACCTGAAGGTGACTCAATGTTCTTCTTTTTTTTTTTTTTCCTCCGTTACATTGATGACCCGCCTGCTTGCTTTGTGAAATATCAGTTCAAATTAAGGCCGACTTGCACATTAACAATCATCTGCTTTTTTTTCTGTGTGTCGTGGTAGCAAGAAAGGTGAGCAAAGAAAAAGTGGTCGGTAAACTGGATTATATACATGACATCTTAAAGAGATGTTTTGTTGGACGTAATGCTAAATCTTTTCCACTATCAAATCAAGAAAACACGCTGATCTGGAGGTGATTGTCCTTAAGTGAGTTGTGGTTTGATGCAATTCTCCTGCAATTTATTTACCTTGTCTCGCGGATTTCTAAGATTTTGTTTTCCTTAAGATCCATGTGGGACTCAATAAATTAGAAATCGGTATACTGTTAGAATAAATCGACAAAATATATTTGTGAAATCAGTTTCTTTTATAGAATTACCGTATTGTCATCATGGGTGTCCAGCGGGTGTAAATCGATTTATGTGTACTGTGGTGCAGGTGCCCTATCTGCCCTCCAGTAGAGATCAAACACTGAACATCATGAAGCTGCTCGAGGGCCGCACAGGTCGCTTAGCAGATCTGGGATCGGGAGATGGGAGGCTGGTGCGTGAGTTGCTACGCCTTCACTACAAGTTTGTCCTGTTTAGTGTGGAATACACTTGTATTTTAGCAATTAAACTTGTGGTGGGGGCCTCCGCTACCCATCAGAGCAGAAAAAGCAGCAAGGAGGATGGGCAGGAACAGTAAATCAGACGCACTGAGGAAAAGATTCCAAAAACAAGCAAACCCCTCTCATGAATGTTATGCGAGTGTTTTGCTTTTTCTCTGGCTCGTATTCAAGTCTAGGTGTCAATTCGCCATTATGCCTTGGTCAATCATGATTAATGTTGAGTGTTTTGTTATTTTTACATTTGAACAGTGGTTAACTTCTTATTACACTTGCACTCATGACATCAAAAAATGAATCCTGCTTCAAAAAAATGCCTGTA